CAGTGACAACTTGTCACCATTCGGGCAAGACTTACCACTATATGATGAAAAACACATCGTCACCATTGTCATCGCTCGGTGACGATTTACAGCAGAGTGCATACAATTATTATATTTTGCACAACCATCTTCCGTTATGAAAATTGTTCAGGACATTTTTACTGTTTTTCTGTCTCTGGCGAATTTTTTTGCAACACAATACAATGCGCAAAGGACTTAAGGCAAATACCTACATAAGTACGAAAATATAATTGTAAGTTATGAAAACACGCAGAGAACAATGTAGGGAAATGTACCATATATCGCTTAACAAGGTCAGTCCATCCATAAGGTATGTATGTGTGTATTCAGAGCTGTTGCAAATTAACAATTCTTCATGAAATTTGCCAGTATTTTGTGCATTTTGGACCTCTGCAGTTTCATTAGATCAAAAAATATTCGTCCATATTCTGCATCAGAGTACGAAGCAGGTCGTCGCGCCGGGCTGGCAAGGCATAATCTGTATCGGTCTTGGTATGGCATGCCAAAAATGAAGTTAAATGACCGGGTGAGTTAAAAATAATGCAATTTGCATTTTCCATGTAAAAAACGGGAAGTTTGACAGAGCATTCGATAATTTTGGAAAACTTTATAACCCAATTAGTCATCGAGAGTATCCATTATTCGTTGGTATAGCTATATCCATAGTCTGTGATTTGTTCATGATTTGATGGTTTCTCGCATCCATACTCCATAATTTTCCAAAACTTATTTTACTCCGATGTTTTCATTGGTTGATTTTTAAATTGCTATGGTGATTAACATGCCTAAAATTATGAACCTTTGAAAGCATCACCAAGTCACTAACAAATCACGGACTATGGATGTAGCTCATGGTTACTATCGTAAAACTATTTAAGGAGACATATGTACTCTCCATTCGCACACAGTTGAACTTTTACAGAAATTGAGACCGACAGTGTAGTTTCTGACAATTCTCAATGTATGTTAAAGTTCAACGGTGTGCGAATGGAGAGTATTATGTATATAGGGGTCAAACTAGTAATCTATTATACGCAACGCGATTTATTTTCTGACAAAATTTTACGACCCTTACAAAATCTCGTAATCGTCTCGCAACCAACTTATTTTACGAATACTGATGAATAGATAAAAATAGTAAATACCTTCGGTGAATATCTCATTAATCTTTTATTAAAATAGCTTAACAAATTATTGACGCAAGCGTTTAGAAAGCCGGTATTTAAAAATACCCGGTATTCAGATATATTTATGTATGTAAATACGTAATTTAAATGGACGGCCCCACATATAAGATTCAAAATTTCTAAATTAAATGCATATTTCCACAAACTCCAACATTCTTGTTCCAGCTCAACACTCGTGCCGCCCAGTGGGCCAAACTTGTCGTCAATAAACAAAGAAGCGGACATTCCCCGAAAGAATGGCGAAAACTGGACGGGCAACAAGTCGGGGAGAATGTGTATACTTATTGGAATAATCACCCCGGACTACAGCCAAATATTTCTGAACAGTTCGAAAACGCTGTTGACAATTGGTATTATGAGATCTGCGACGACAAACAATACCCAAAGAGGAATTTTCAAGGTGATGTTAATCTCTACCATGATACCCAAGTTTTGTGGAGGTCGAGTCGTGAGGTAATTTTAAATAAGGGGCGTAGTCGCGTGAACATGAAAATATCAAATGTGGATTTACAAAATTTTCAGGATTTTATTTTACTGACTTTAGCGTAAAATTCATAGGATTTTTTTTCGAATTTTACCAGAGCCGTGTTTTGTTTGTTGCGCTTTCTACAATTCCTCCCATGCAATTTGTTTCGCCAACAAAATTATGGGGATCTTTAAATTTTAAGACATTAATCATTATTTTATTGTTCAGCTAAGAAAATTGAAGATTGTCAATGCGAACTTATTCCGACAAGCCTTTTTTGAATAATTTCCAAAATAGTATTTCACAAATCCACTCAAAAAATCAATTTTTGAGCTTTACGAATACATATGCTAAGCGAATTGAAGTGCGATATGTTGTCTTGAGTACGCCTAAAGATGACGGTGTCTACCTTTACGCTAACAATTTATCATGGCTGATAAATGTTTTTTTCGAATCCTAATTTCTAATTAAGTGCGTACCAAAATAAATTTACAGATTGGGATGGGCATCGCCGTTAACCGTCATAAGGGGTGGACATACGTCGAAGTGGTGGCACACTATGCACCAGCGGGAAATTGGATTGGTGAAGGTGACAAAAACCTTAATGGGCTGAAGCCAATTTGTCACACAGAGTACGAAATTTGCAACGCCCACAACGACGGAGACCCTTTGGAATTTGAGTGTCACGGAGCTTTGTAAGATTTGTCTAATTTTTTTCGATTTATGAGGTGTACAAGTACTAATCCACGTGCCTACTCTCCATTCACACACAGTTGTCAACTGTCAGTTGAACTTTTACATACATAAATTGAGAATTCCGACAAACTACGGCACTTTCAGTCTCAAATTATCATGATTTGGCACTTTGAGATTGTCAGTGGCGTAGTATCTCAGAATTAATAATTTCTGTAAAAGTTCAACTGTGTGCGAATGGGGAGTATTTAGGTCGACAGCCTCCAAACAATGCTTAGTTTTTGGCTTCAAATTTGCTATTTTATTTTTGTTCCTAACCTACATATATATGGAAATATCTGATTGTAATTAGAATACTAATTTCGTCAGGTGGAATCCTGCCGATGCTGACACTTTTCCACAACAAGACCAAGTGCAGGAAGAAAATATTGCTGAAATCGAGGAACCCGACAAAAATGAAGGCAATGAAGAAAATTATAGGGAACATAGTCCAATGGAAGAGGGTAATAGATTCAAGTTCCAGTGGGGCAAATTCAACACTATCCCGTTATTTTTGGATGGAGGGTTTTATGAGAAGCTGAAAAACTACGGATTTTATAATTACTTTCTTTCCCTTCCCAACGTTGGGGGATTATTTAAGAATCAAATGACTGATTATCAAATGTCTGACTACCAAACACGAGAAGACCAGGAATCTGACGAGCAAATATCCGATGAAAAAATACCTGAAGGCCAAGTTCCTGACGACCTAATCCCTGAAGGGGTAACCCCTCTGGGACAGGAATCTGACAAGCGAGAACAGAACGAAAATGATTTTAACTTAGGCTGGAGTGATATAAAAGCACCACCCTCCGTTATGAGGGTCAGGAGTATAAAAGGGTATTCCAAGATGGGAGGACCTTTACCTGTTTCCAGTTCAAGGGCAAAGGATTTGTTGAATGTGGGAGGGCTATCAAATATGTTCGATGAAAGATAAGTATATAAATACATACCTATACTGTATATATAAATATACTGTAGAATAAGCAGGACAAAAATAAGTGACATTTAGCTCTTCACGGAGAAATTTCAATTTCGAAAATTAAATTGCTTCAAAGCCTTGAAAAGGCGGTATAGTAAATGCTGATAGATGGTTTTTTAATCAATTGCATTCTAATCTATTTTGCTCAGATACATTATTACGGATTATATGTAATGTACAGGGTGGTTAAAATGTCACGCTACAATGGAAAATTTTTCGATGGGAAAAATTTGTAAATTTCCATTAGTTACCGAAATTGTGTCTATGAAATTCAAGATTTTACGAATTTTGCCATCAGTTTTGATAATAATTAATAAAAATCTCAACCCTAAATCCTGTAACTAATAGAGATTTAGGGATTTTCCCCATTGAAAAATTTTCTATTGTTGCGTGACATTTAAACCATCCTGTATGTAATAATACAATAAGTATAGTAATGTAACAAAAAAATCATGCATTGCTCATTCCAACATTGTAATTTCATACAAACAAAAATTTTGATGTATATTGCCATTTGTGTAATTTCCCAGATTAATACCCAATTAATGTACTTGTTTTAAGATCATTGTACAACCTGTATCATACAAGATACACATGTAATAAGCCATAGAAATGGTTTATGTAATAGATTTGTCCGACGTCTACATATATACTTATGTATCTGTCAATGCTTACAATAACTCTTATTAAACTTTAACTCAAACTCGACGTTCAAAAACATAAACTTAATATTTTGCACACAAGTAAAAAAAAATTCATGAGTAAAAAACCTAATTTAGAGGGAATGGTCTATAATTAAGCTCCCTTTCGATGACGTAGTTGTCTCAAAAAAATCTCACAGGAAAAATATGGCGCGAAATCTTTTCACCATGCTTTACTTTTCCCAAAACCCATGTTTTTTGTTTACAAAAGAAAGTGCGGGGACACGCATTCACTATGTACTGCATTGCATTTCTTGTAAAACCATTTTTATTCAGGTTTTTACTCAATTCACCAAAATCCAATGCAATACACAGTTAGTGGACGGCCCTCGCACAACAAGTCTGGGTTACACCAGTTATTTCATTTTTTTCAATTTTTAAAACTATTTTCTGAGACTTTGAAATTGAATTTTGAAATTCTTTCTACCGCTATTGTAGATAATTAGCTGATTAATAAGATTCTTTTGAAATTTTTCCATTTCCATTGGCCAATTTTGCTGTGGTACAAATTTAATATAACAGGTGGTCTTATGCTTTTTACACATTTCTTGTACCTCAGCTTTTGAAAACCACCGAAATATTGAACCTCTTGTTCGACTACGACCACAATGGAATTATCTAAAATAGCTGTAGAAAGAATTTCAAAATTCCTTCTGGTAGCTGAGAAATAATTGAAAATGTAGGGTTATGACGTCATTGTTATGACGTTGGTAGTGACGACACGAGTCTCACGTTAAGCATGTGTATGCCTGTACCATGAAATAGTATCAAGGTCAACGAAACGAGAGAGAAAATAGAGTTGCTAAACGTTTAGATGCACAAATAGGAATTCAGTTGTTTGCATGATTCGGATCCACAAACAGGAAACAGGCATTTATGAATGAATGAATTCGTAGATTACATAAAAAACATTGACGGAAATACGATAAGTATCCATCGTACAAAAATCTGTTATTACACAAAATTAATGTTTGTGATTTGGGCATGACTTTAGAAAATTTGCGACGCAGTAGGCGACGACTATTATGGAAAATGACAGGTCATCATCGGCACGTGCAGTGGCCATATTATCTAATTGTCATATGTAGCTATTTACAATTTTTGCATTTTAAATATTTTGTTTTGCGCATTTGTGTATACATAAATATTTCCTTAACGTCCCATTGGATTGGTTTTAAATTTGCAATTCTGTCAAAATAAGAAAAAACAATTCATAATTTTATGTATTTACTGATTTGCGACTTGTAAAGATATCTAGAAATTACCGCAGCTTCACTGAAAGCTTGGAAATCTGCGAAAAGTTTCAACAGGCATTTAACAAATTCTCCGTAAGATTCGCAAAATTCTTGGGATTTGTCCAATTTAGATCCTAAAATTAAGTTTAGTTTAATACATCATTTAAATTGTGGATTATGCAAATTCTCTATTTTGTACATACCATAATCCGTTACACAATGTTCAGTAGCCCAATGTGCAAAATCATGCGCTTCATCGGGAATATGAATATTAAGGAAGGATTGGACCGTGTCTGGGGTACAGGTTCCTTCCTCCGTTAGCTAAAAAAATAAGAAATTAGAAGTTAAAATTTTGTATTCACAAAATTTTGGACACGTCACTAGGAAGTTTGTAAGCTTGGATGGAAACTCGCAAAACTAGTACATAAGATACTACAAAAGAAAATAGGCTGATTGTAAATTAAGATGGATCGCTGGCGTCTGTTTTTTGCAGGGTTGCTAAAATTACTTATGTAATTATTGGCTCTATAATGTTATGACTCTTACCAATCCAACGTTGTCCAAAACGCATCGTATTATACACTAGTGGACAAATTATAAAATTAATGGCCTTTCATATACATGTATGAAAAAAAGTTTTATGAAAAAACCTACGCTTGTTTTCTTCTCGAACTCCTGTTTCGTCGAGTTTTGTCTGACTTCTTTTGAGCACGTGTGAAAAAGCTTGATCACTTTTTTCGTGATGAGATTGACAATTTTTTGGCAATCGAGTAGCGACAGTTTTGATCCCTGTGTTGTAAAAAATGGTATGTGTTTATTACATATTTATTACTTACGTTTCAAAAAAATATATGCAAAAATACACTCAACTTGACTTGCTAAATAAATCAATAAAAAACATTTCCATTTTGTGTAAAGTTTCTAGCAAAAATTCATCGATTTTGTTTTACGAAATGTCGCAAAATTACATATGCAGATATGAGCAATTTGCGAGCTATGTTGACATGAGTTCGCCAATTATTTTTTGTCGTATTTTAGGCCAAAAATTGAGTTAATTTTTCACAAACCTGCGTAACAGGAGCCTCATCAGCTTCTATGGATGGAGAACATATCATAATCACGACAAGCGCGAGGGACGTCGATGCAATAAAAACAATAGAAAAATGCTTCACCATTTTAAGTTTAATTTCTAAATTTTCACTGAAAAAATAAGTATGTAAGGCTAACTTTGGTACAGACAACGAATAAAAATGAGCGTATTTTTTAAACTTGAACTCTAAAGTGCGAATGAGTGGGTTTTTACCTGATTCACGGCGGATATATATTTTTGACGCGTGGATTTAATTGAGGATTTCAAATTACATGGTTATTTTGCGACAAAGCTTTAATTTGGTTAAAAGGGGACAAACCCGCACAGATTATGATTACTGCTTATTTACTAACCGGGAAGGAAGCTCGACGGAAATTCTGCAGTCATGCAACTATAATCCCTACAGAAGGGTTGGGCACTTACGTGGATACGAATTTGACCTTGAATAACCCCGGAACGGTTTGTCGCAGCGGGTCAAAATTTTGAGCAGACGAGCATGTTATCCTCAAATAGTTGTGTGCAAAAATTAAACTCTCTACTTTCAAAAATGTCTCCCCCACAGCCCTCAGAAGCTGAGACACCCATAAAAACTCTTTCCAAACTTAAGTACTCGTAGAGCCAAATATATAAGCATCTTAAAAGTGATGGGAAAACATTTTCGAAATCTAGAATCAATCTGGTATTGAAAAATATAGGTGAAAAGTGAGAAATTTTGAGCTAAGGGCAACCACCACCTCCTCAAAGAAGGCAAAAAAAGTGTTAATTCGGGCCGTGCTTAGGGAAAGTGACCTCTTGACCTCAAAAGACACTCCACCGACCCAAAGAGAAATTTTCCGTAAGGTTGGGGTGTCTAAGCGTTGGGCGAAAAGAGAAATTTAGATTTTGAAGAAACGTCGTCGGAAAAGTCGTATGCATCAGCTGACCGAAAAGCAGGAAAAAAATCGCGCCCGTGTTTACAAAAAAAATTATTCGAATTTTCTGTGAAGGAATCAGAGTGAGATATTGGTGACATTTGACGAAGCACTAATTTCTCTACAAGTTACTAATTAGGTTCGAAGAGCTTACTACACGACAAATGCCGAAAACAATTCACGCAAGTTGGTGCCTCCCAGTGAGGAGAACTTTTGTAAACAGTTAATGGTTGTGGGTGCAATGTCCGGTTATGGTGTCCTCCCACTTATCAAAGTCCCCCAAAAAGTGAAGGAATCTTCGAAGTATTATCTGGACCGTGTATTGAAACCACTTTTAGAATAACATTTTCCTAAATTTCAAGGTAAAAAAATAATTAAGGTGAGTTTTCATCATGACGGAGCGTCTTCCCAGACGGCAAAGTTGACCCAAGATAATGCCAACCACTTTGAAGCTAGATTTGAGATAAAAATCACTTCGAATAGTGAAATACGTGTATAATCCCCTAATATAAGTCAAATGGACTTATTTGGGGTCGGACACATGAAAACAAAAATTTTTCTGCGGAGACTGAATTTTTTAGACGGAGTTTGGAAAGAGTAAAAATGAGTGTTTCAAATTATGGGGGCTGTGGGGGAGGCATTTTTGAAAGTAGAGAGTTGGTTTTTTACACACAACTATTTGAGGATAACATACTCCTCTGTTCAAAATTTTGACCCGCTGCGACAAACCGTTCCGGGGTTATTCAAGGTCAAATTCGTATCCACGTACGTGCCAAACCCTGTAAATAGCTGTTGTATAACGAATTGTTTAAATACGGCAAATTTGATGAATATCACATGATTTATGCTATGATTACGCCTTCATTAGTAAATTGTGTATAATTTTGGCAGCACATATTGCATCTGTAATTAATGCTGCACTTTTGCTTAAATATGTATTGCAAAATTCAGTGCAGATAATGTTATATTTAGCAATATATGTGCATAAATATGTATGCACAAACGGATATGTACATACATATGCATGCATACCTGACTATGAAAAGATGAATAAATATGCACTTATCTGTACGACCTTTCATCTGTTTTATTGGACTAGGTCGTGTTCACCGTAAATATTGAGGGGGATCAGTTCGTTCAAATTAAGAGTTAACCTGGCAATTAAATTCCATGGATTATTTTTTATAACTTGGTTTTTATTAAGTGACAATTGGCCACTTTTTCGAGTTATTTAATTTATATATATAGAGATTTGGGAGAATGTATATTCGTAAGTATATCTACATATTCATACATATTATTTATGTATGTAAGTGCACACAAAAAGTTTACTCCTTGCCACACAGAATCTTAATTGGCAAGGAATTTTCTTCTGCAAACTTCCTAACGACGCGGATATCTTGGAGTAACGGCTGTAAGAAAACCAAATAATATCAATTTGTCCATCAATTTTAATTCCAACTATCAAGGAAAATTGATCTCACTGAAATATCCGTAATTTCAAAGATCTCCATCCCCTTTGTCCGCATCAAGGTGTGACAAATCTCGTCCGGAAGCCCGAGTCCATCTCCTTCGCTGTCTTTATCATCGCCAGAGTATGGCAGCAACCGAAGACTTATCCGCTTAACATCTGCACAAATAAATAATTCCAATTTTATACACGACTCCCAATGGTTCTGCGAAATTTAAATTTTTTTGCTTTATAGCACAGATTTGTTTGATAACTACATGCGTATAACTGCGTATACAAGATTCTTTTATTTTAAAGGAAAATAATAAACTCCTGGAAAAAGCCACTGCAAAAATCTCGATTATGCATTACCTAATTCAATTTATGAACTGCCACTCACTCAAAAAACTTACCATCCAAGGGTAGCCTATCTGCCGCCACGAGGATATCTTTCATTTTATAGTAGCACGGCATAATAATTTCCAAACTTTCCAACCCCCAGGTGGCAAAGGCACCAAATAACTTAAAAAGTTTTTCCCTTCGAAGTACGGGTAGGTCTAGTTTGCGCTTTTCGGTGTCAAGATAAAAGTGCTTAACGTTTGGAAATATTTGCTTCACTTTCGAAATCAAGTCCAATTTTTTTGTCCCGAACAACTTTACCGTCTTAACGGTTGGCATGGGTGACGTTGCCAAGTAGAGGAAAAGATTGACATGTGCACCCTTTTTGCGACCCTGAATGCAAATTGTTTCCAGGTTCGGAAAATATTTCTGGTTCAGATATTCTTCAGAGTGAACTACCTCAGTTGCCATGATTTTTAAGATTTTCAGTCGCTTCATTTCTGGGGGTCGAAAATCATCAAGTGTATACCCCGCGAAGAAAGAGCGTATCCCATTTAGTTCCAGTTCCACTAAGGAATCCTTAACCTTTAAAATTTAAACCGTTTTCAAATTTACTCCCAACCAGATATTCAAATACAATAATACGATATGATAACAGTATAATGCAAATTCTTAGCAAACTGGGATTAACTCGTTCGTTACCACGCCAGCGCATAAATATGTGACTCTACCGACACGGTAATAACGAACATTACAGTTTAGGATAGGCAGTCAAGTCAAGAGTAAGAATTGTTAGGTCTTTGTAATTGATGTACACGATTTATTTGTCGTTATATTAAGTAACCAATCAACTCATGTTGTTGTAGGGTTCTGAATAATGTTGACAATTTGTTAATTGATTTCAATAAAATCCAGTTTAAGTAGATAAATTGCACTTATATGTACATACTCTCTCAAGTAACTTTCTTTAATTCGAGCAAGGCAGAATTATGTAAATATCTAGTAAAGACACTATACTTTGGGTAGAAGATATGTAGCTTGGCTTTTATAGTACGACGTGACCTCCATGGTAATAATTTGTTACCGACTCGACGGGCATTCTTCTCGATTAAATTATCTGGTATGCAACCAGATTAAGAACATTATACCATCCCGTCAATTATTACCGTTATCAATATTCAGTTTTTCTCGAGTTTAAATCAATCTGAAAAATTACCTGTTCCAGCATTTTGTTAATTTCCGATTCAGGCCATATTTTATCTGTATCCAAATCCTCCAAAATTTCAGTATTCGACGGTATAACCGTGGCACTGAGCGATTTAAGAGAACCTTTACACCCCTCCAAATCTAAACGGAAGTCATCCCCCAATTTTAACTCGGTCAAATTCCCCCCACATTTATTAATCAATTCTTGAACCACGACATGAAATGGGGAATATTTCCGTTCTTCATGGAAACGCTTCCACATCTTAAATTCAAGACGTTTCAATTTTGGAAAGACCCCAAATATTTCCACGTTTTCCAAAATTTCTCCACAATTATCTATTTCGACGATCGTTAAAGTTTGCAGCTCAGGAAGGCTTATGCAGTTCAAAACTTTGACAACAAAATCCACACAATCTGTATCGGCGTAAAGTTCCAAGAAATTTATGTGCTGGTGATATTTCTCCAAAATTTTCATCGACCATGAATTGTCTTGCAGGCCTCTAGCTCGCAATCTTTTTGCTAATATGACATCCAAGTTATTGCAAAATGTGTCAATTTCTTCGTTTATAGTGACAGTTGATGTCCACAAAATGACTCGTTTGGCAAAGAAAGGTGTCCCAATTTTGTTCCATTTGGTACAAACGAGGCGGAAGTTCTTAAGGTCGTCGAGACTATGGAGGAGGTCTGCTATCTTTCCAAGTACCTGGAATCAAAGATTTACTGATTTACAATTTCAATATGGGCGGTGGGGGCGGAAGTGTGGGGACAGAGGGTAAAATGCCCCCAGGGTTAAATCTGCCCATGTTATATACAGAAACCCGACCCTCCCCTATCCTACAATGTTAATGTCCCCATGTGTCACCACGGCTTCAGCTGCCATTGAATAGAAGGCACATTCACATATTACGTTATCAAAAAAGTAGATTTTTACACTATCCACCCTCCCCTTCCCTATCCTACCCATGTTAAGCTTAATACGAGTAAAATATGAAGGTGACCCGAAGCTACCTATCCCCTCACGTTTTTGATGACCTAATATATGGACCTTCCCAAAACATTTCTGTATGTAGAATTTTAAGTCAGCATTCATTACAAGTTAGCAGAATTTGCTCAAAGGTACATTAAAAATGCACAATCAGAACTTGCTCGTCTTTTCCAGACAGGTAATAAATACTTGACAAATTTTCCAAATATTTAATAAATTTTCCCAATTTTTACCAGGTCGTCAAATAGAGCGAATTCCATGTTTTTTTTCAAACGTGCTGGAGCAAGACTAGAAGAATTTGTAATTTCGAAAGACAAATTATTTCACCTGTGGAATAATTTGGTTGTATAATTCACGATATAATGCAACGATCGGAACGAATGAATTGACCAAATGAGAAGTTGGAAAGTTTGGTGATGACGTGAGCACCTAATCTGATTCTTTGTTTGTTCCGGGATATGAATCACGTCTGCACACAGTTACTCATTCGCATGCAAAAGTTCAGTACGCCGTTAAAATTGTCGCATATATTCTCCGTACTTGTATTTATTGATTTGGTAACAACATCCTACCGGATGGATAAATAGTTTGTTTATGATACACTATTTAATCCTAATGCAATTGATGAATGAATAATTTCTTCAAATAATTTTTGAATAATAAATGTTAAGTAAATATTTATTCATTTTGTATTAATGAAGAATAAATGCATACTTTTCTTGATTACTCCTTTTCATCCCAGTATGAATTTATATTTGCACAAGAACTTATAACAACAAGGCGAATTTGAATAATGGGAATAAATGAGTCAGTATTTTTGCCAGGAATTGAAATCTTCAAAATTTTTGGTAATATGTAAATATGTATTTTTAATTCTAGATTTATCATATGTCCCTAATTTAATTTTGCAAGGAATTTTGAATAGATTGGATATTATTTATTTTAGGATTTCTCATATTCCCCAAATTTACTTCAAGTACTTCTTCACCTCTTCCTCATCCAGCAGAATGTTGCTTGGTACGATTTTCCCGCCATTTGGGATCGGCCGCGCCACCACAAAGGTCACTTTGTTACTGGTCTTAATCACGCTGTCAAAAACCTCCTGTGCCGCTTTTCCCACCATTTTGGCTAGATTGTGTCCATTGATGCGAATAATGTAGTCACCTATTTGCATTCGCCCGTCATGATGGATCAAGCTGCCAGGGTCAATCCTACACACGCGTAGTCCCACGTGATATTCTGCCCAGTGCGTGGCACCTCCGAATTTCATGTCTAGCACAGGTTTAGACAGCTCGATAGTTTGAAGGATCGCATTATCCGTGGTGAACTGTAATTTATGTACAAATTAAATGTCTAAATTAAATTTTTAATTAAAATTTATAATTAAGCGGATAATCTAAATCTTTACTATTGATGTGCCCAAATTTCTCGAGGCGTCATTCTTTTGTACATTTCCTTCTGGGAAAGCCTTATCCAAGGAAGTTAACTTATTTCCCGCCACCAAATAATTCTCCAGGGCTTCGTCATCCTCTAGAATATTGCTTGGAACGATTTTCGTCTCACTTTTTTCCACTCGAAACGGCCGCGCAACTACCAGGCGGACTTTAGTCTTCGTTTGCATCTCCTTCAGGAACACTTCGTATGCCCGTTTCCCTGGCAGGGCGGCGATATTAAGGGCATTCACGCGAATAATGTGGTCCCCTCGTTGCAACCGCCCGTCCAAACTGGTCGCGCTGTCTGGAACAATGCCGGACACCATTAATCCCTGGTGGACTTTGGAGAAGCACGTGTAAATTCCGAATATCGTCTCTTTTGGGGGTTTAGTCAGCTCGATGATTTGAACGATCATGCTCTCTCTGTTAAACTGAAATGGATATTTACATGGTAAAATTGAGGGCGAGAAACGTAAAAAATATACAATTTTAGAGACAGAAATGTTTATTCAAAAAAATTAAGGGCCATCCATAAATTATGTAGAGCGAAAGGGGGGAAGGGAGTCTAAGGCTCGAATGATATCATGCCTACTATCCTCGAACTTCGGCTTGGCACCTCATTTGCATAAATCTCACTATGCCCATTTTCGGCGCTACGGGCTTTCCATGTTGAATAAACTCTATGTCTCTCGCGAATGCGTCAAAATATGCAAATGAGGTGCCAAGCCTAAGTACGAGGATAGTACATATGTTACACATGAAGGATTGTTGGGAGTGGGGGCCTAGAAAATTGCGATTTTAGCATTACGTGCAATTTTTGCATTTGCAGAAGCGGAAATAAAAAAAATACGCTTTTGAAGGTGCGACTTAATTAAATTTGTGAATACGTACCCCTAGCTTATTTAATCGTGTCGTTTTCTCCGAAGGGGTAAGTGGCATGCGGGGTTGGTCTGGTGGGAGTGGCCGTTGGAGGGGTCCTGTTGGCGCGGTGTGTTATTAAAAACATTAATTATAGTTGCGTTTCCCTTCCTCGACTTGAAAGCACAAAGAAAAAGCAACACCAAAATGAGCACTTGTAGAAGGTAGAGGATTAAAATTTCCCAAATCTCCATGGTCTCTGGATTCTAAAAAAATTTGTAATTTGTAAAAATTGAGTTACTTATTTTTGTAAAAGTGGATGGATATGCTTACTAAATGTTGATGGATTTGGGGTAGAAAAATTATTATTTTTTGAAAATATTATTCTCCACTAGGTTCCTGGCGACGGTGTTAAATGGACTGTGTGTAAGAGGACTCCTCTTAGAGGAGGAATTGACCCTTGGCTTGGCAAGGAATTTAGTAAAATAAAAGGACGAATTAAAAATAGGAAAGGGTTCTTTGCATACTTTTCAATAGGCAGATTTTCTATGTAGTAAATATTTAGAGAAGCACAGATTTAAATTCAATACGGACGTGGTAATAGGTTTCCGCAGTGGGAAAGGTCATTCATTGGCTTTACTTGGCGTCGTTCATTCCAGAGTTTTAGTTTTCTTGAAATGTTCACCCTTCTTATGGGAATTATGTATGTCAAATGGTAAATAAATATGCGCATATTTGTATATGTACACTCTTAATAATTTGAAGATAAATCGTCGCCAGCAGTGGTACGATTTTTGGGGTAAGGACTACACACGTTTCACGTTTTGAGACGTTTTGTCACCAACTGGTAATAAATAATCGTCTTCGTGTAGCCAATTAACGCTCCATTTTTCAATTTTTTGTGTTAACCTGGCACATTCCCACAAAATTTTCCGAATTCATTTCCACATCCTCCTCCCACCAAATTCAGCAATTTTGGGGGCCACTCATCCCACGCAGATGCTAGAATCCGTTCTTATTCGGCGTACTTACATAATTCATGCAGATGCGAAGGTTGAATCAGGGTCAATAGGTCAAATAGTTCCCGAGAAGTGGTCGTTTCATTCCATTGTGACATTTATCAATGTTGAACTCTGCCTTTTCTGGTTTGGGTTTTATTGGTACGAAAAGGTCCAACTGAACTTTCTTCCTGGTACAATTCTTCCAAATCCTGTCATTCGTTTCATAGGTACATACCTGAACCATACAAATATTGATGGTAGGGTAACCTTGAACTTGACATTTTATGTTTCCATAATGTGTTCCCAAGCTAAACAAATAGCTTTTTGCTGGCTTTTAATCCGCTTTATTGAAGTCCCTTTTTCTTGCTTTCTATCAAATTATTTATAATTATGTATTTTTAATGTTACCACCAGTGAAAATATGTACTTATCATGTGCATAAAACGCGAGAACTTTTGTCCTTGATTTGTTTTATTGAGCACTAATTTTACCCCGTCGTGCCAAGTAAATAAATACAGAAGATTTACAGATGCCATATCTATATTTCTTCCAGCATACTTAAATAAATGATTTGTCAAACGAAATACTATTGTAAACAGGCTTATTTTTGTTAAATACCTCAACTTAATGTGGTACATATTTATCTTTCAATTAGCATTATGGTATTTATACTACTTGCAAAAAATCTAAATACACAGGAAATAAATATATAATATGTAGATATCAAAATATACGTAACATAGTTATACGACGTTAATAAGCTAAAATTCAGATAAAAAATAAATATGAAGCTGTGACTTTTCATAGCATATTTAGCTTTATTAGTTTTTCTAACATTGGTTCTAACCTTCTTGTCTTGTTTCTTATTGACATATTTTATGGCACCACAGGGATCCTTAAGTCAACCTTAAACCCAAAAAAATTAACTGCAGTCGTCTTCCTCCCTTCAAACGAAAAACATGTAGATATTGCGTAGAAACAGGTCAACACGAAAATCTAGCCGAAACCAATAAAAATATTGTCCCTGTTAAAAAGGTATGTCGTACATACATAGGTACACAAAGCTTTAAAAAGCGCGTAGCTTCTCCAAATTTATGGTTGATTGTTATTAATCGTATCACAGACATACCTGTTCAAGAAATATTTTTTTATTCAATTTAAAAATCGGGAAAATTTTTCTTTAATCATTTACTCATTTATCAAAATTTATGAACAAGTACATATGCACATATTTACATATTCATTATGTACTATTATCAGCTTTGAATAATTTTTTCATTCTAAATATATTGAATATGTAAATTAATAGGAAAAGTTATTATCAGAATGTTAAAAATAAATAAATCTCACTTTCTTCCAAACTTTTAGGATTTGCACCAAGTCACCATAACCATGAAGATGACCTTGTTTCTTATGGTAATGCTTGCTCTCAGCATTACAGTTCACTGTCAAAATGCAGGTAGTAACATGACGGAAATAAAATCTAAACCGATTACACATTGTCTCAAATTCCCCAGGTTTCTGCTCGACTATGCAAAACACGTGCCAAGAAGATAACGGGCGATTTATCGAGTGCCGGCAAACTCCAGGTCGGGATGTTGCAGTTTGTCAAAACCCCTCAGGCACCAGGTTCCAAGATGAGTGCGGTACTTTCAGCGCCTGCGAAATTAGCGAGACTTCTTCCGGCCGTACGATTTGTTCTTGCCGATATTAACGAACAAAATCGACGAAAACGAAAATTATTTAATTAAAATTCAATAAATAAATGAATAATTTATTTCGAATTTTGAAACTAAATACGAATGTTTATTCATTGTGAATTAATCAAGATTAAAAGTGAACTGTTTTAATTGCGAATTTTTCAACCCATTCTTATTCCATGGGGCAAAATGGGAAATTCGTTTTATAAAGCGAATTTGGGGAAAACTAATAATTGCTGGTTTATTTAATATGATTTATTTAATCAAAAAGAAAGATGGAATGTGATACAATGAACATTTGTAGCTAAATGTATAACAATTTTTCCTATAATTTTTGTACGCTTCTAGATTTCTCATATTCGCCTAAATTACTTTAAACATTTCTCCAACTCTTCCTCATCCGCGAGAATATTGCTTGGTACAATTTTCGCGCCACATGCAACCGGTCGCGCCACCACTAAGCAAACTTTAGTTTTTGTTTTCATCTCTTTCGAAAACACCTCATGTGCCGTTCTTCCCACGAGTTTGTCCATTGACGCGAATAATGTAGTCACTGCTCTGTCTCGAGGCAAGTTTTAACTTTATTTTTAGTCTGCAACGTAGTTAACAAGAGGCAGGAGAGCAGAACGAGGCTTTAGCAGAGAGCCTAGTTGCAACCGCCCGTCCAGCTTGATCGAGCTGCCAGGCTCAATCCTATCCACGCGTAATCCCACATGATATTGCGATGTAGAGGCGGCAACTCCGAATTTCACTTCTACCACAGGCTTGGAGAGCTCGATAGTTTGAACGAGTGCGTTATCCGTGTTGAACTGTAATTTGCCACAATAATTAAGCGGGAAATACGGAAATGAATTAAATAATACAATGACTCATTCATTAAGCGTGAGGGTATTATCATTGCAGGCATTTGTAGGGTTTGCGTCGCAACATAATTTTGAAAAATATTTTGCGAACTACATAAATATATATTAAGTAGTTGAGGAGATGCACAATTTCGCGAAGGAATATTCAACCCAAAAATATTTGCGAACTTACGACCATTGTTGTTTTTGCTACCATTGCAAATGATCCGAATTCGTAATGAGTACCCTATCTATCTTAATTTTGTTTATTCTTACCATGGATGTGCCAAGATTTCCTGTATTTGGAACTTGAGCCAGTTGTGCATTAATTTTATTTGTTGACATCCCAAAATTATTTAAGGGTCTAATTTTCGCAGGAGAAAGGGGTTGGAAGGGTCGTTCTGGTGGGAGTGACCGTTGCAAGGGCCGTTTCTGCAAACTAATGTTATCAGGATCATTTTGATTGCTGTTTCCTCCCCTCGACTCGTTCATAGAAATCAGCAAAACAGTAATCGCCGATGCTAGTAGTTGTCCAAGGAAGAAACCGAAAATATCCCAAATCTCCATGGTCCCTGGAAAATATGTAAAAATGTAAAGATACTAAAATTCGTACCGATTCTTACTAATTTATTTTAGATTACTCTCACTATATTACCAAAAATCTTGATGGATTTAGGGCTGGTAAATTATTATTTTTTGAGAATATTATATATTCTCCGCTTGGCTTCAGTTAGCAGTGGTGAAAGGAATGTGCCTTGGCAGGGAAAGGAATTGACCGTTGGAAAAGAAGGATTTTAGGGCTAAAAATAAATGGTAAAGGGTTTATTTCTTTTCAGCAGTTAGATTTTATTTTCTACTGGGCTGTGAAATTGGTCCGGGTATTGCATACATAAATAGGAAGGGAAGCCTTTAAAACTTCAATGCGGAATGGCTAATGAAGTAAAACGTTAATTTCCGCTGTGAAACAAAAAGTTGCTAACTTTAACATTTTTGACATTTTTTAATCTAGACTTTTTAAATGTTCACCCTTTCATGGTGGGTAAGTACACTATACATAAATAAATAAGAATGAATTTGTATGTGTGTGGTGTGTGCGCCTGGATAGTTCTTTTCCACTGTCATTGATATTCTTGGCTTTTAATTAGGGAACATTTATAAATTATGTAACTCAAAAATTGCGAATTTCTTGATCCCGCTCCCCCTTTAATATGCGTCACATAGGCATGATGTCATTAGACCCTATCTACCTCTCACGTGACATAATTTATGGACGCTCCCTTACAAGTGAAGGATGCGTATACTAGGAGACTAGCAAATTGAACGCATACATCTTGTGTAGGAACAGGGCGACAAATCTTCGAAAATAAGGTGAGTAAACCTACATGTAGATGTGTCAAGAAAGGGACGGATTAGGATTAAAAAGACAAGAAAGGGTTTGCTGGTAGCCGTTCGTCGGGCACAAATTCTTAAATATTTTTAATATTTTGTGCTTTTATGCGTAAAAATAAAGTAACTTTTGAAAAAAACTCACAATTGTCAACCCATTTATTTCCGAGATCTCCTTACGTTTTAAAATTTAAAAATTAATTATTTCCATTCAAAAATATGTAATAATAAATTCTCCAACCAAGTGAAAATATTGCTTTCATAGGTTCATAATTTTAATACATAGCACAAGTTTTATATTTTAACTAATCAATTTAGCGCCATATGTAAACAAAATAAATTATTTCTTAATCAAGCTTCCCCCAAAATTTATTTTTCTCTCTTCGACCAAATATTTGTCAAGGTTTTCCCCATCCGCCACAACATTACTGGGTAAGATGTACGCATCATTTCGAATCGGCCGCGCGACCACCAGGCGAATGTGCACATTTGTCTCTGCCTCGTTCTTAACTGCAGCAGCGCCCTCTTTTCCCGACATTTTGGCGATATTTAGAGAATTCACGAGAATAATTTTGTCACCTCGCTGCAACCCACCCAGATCGGCAACGCTGCCTAATGTAATATCAGATACGATTAAGCCAACAATGTACTCCGAACAGTACGTGCTAAATCCAAACTTCATGTCTTGAAACGGTTTCGACAGCTCGATAACTTGAACGAGGGCGTTCTCCGTGTTGAACTGTATAAAATTGAAGGGAAATAGGATCAAAAATTAAATTCTAGTGAATCAGGGGACTTGAGGGGACGTTCGTAAATTACTTAACGCGAGTAGGGGGTGAGGGGTGTAAGGTTGCAATGATAAAGTGCGCATGCTAAATGGTGTGGTTCTTGAAAATCGGGATGTTTGCGTTACATAATTTATGAACGGCCCCAAACGCCAAACTTTAAATTTGATTCTTAATACCATAGGATTTTTGGAGACGGTAACTGATTATCGGACCCAGAACCGTTTTCATTCGTGGATTTAAAAGCGCAGCTCAGAAAAAGAAACACGGGGAGACAGATAACTTGTAAAATACAGTAGGTTAGAATGTTTTCAGTACCCATTGTTTCTGGAAAACAATTTAAAATTTAGCACAAATTCAAACCAAAATTACTACCCTGACTTACTTGGATTCATAAAAAATAATGCGTTTTTTAAGGATTTCGGCTTAAAAAATTGGCGTTTTCTACAATGCGGGATAAACTTGTTCCCAAGTTGAATGAGGAGTGCAACTGGTTCAGAAAAAGAAGGAATGGTTGGCAAGAAAGGGACGGAGTTGATTAAAAAGAGGAAAGGGTCGATAATGTTACCCTTTTTGCAGGTGGATTCTACATATGTATGTACAATATGTTACCGTAAAGAGCCTTCGACGTACTTATTTATGTATAATATCCTACCCTTACTTTTTCTATATTTTGTTTGATTTTTACAACAAAACCTTTTTGAACGGGGGGATTTTTTAAAGAAACATTTTCTGTCAATTTTCTGCTAATCCTTAACTAAACATCTACCATGCCGTATTACATATGTGCACAATGTATGTAAATACCTAGGATTGACTCGAACAACACGATACGGATGCATGCAGATAAATACATACACCTCAAATTTTCAAAGATACCCAAACCCATGTATTTAAAATATTTAAATGTTGTCTATGAAAATGTATTCAGAACGACGGATTGAGGCTTCGTAAGCATGGACGATAAATTGAATTGATAATTCACCGGGACGATTGACAAATTAAGGGACCGAGATTAAAAATAGGAAATGGTTTTGTGTTACTGATCCCCTGCAGATTTTGCACAACCTTAATGCCCAATCATCCTGTCAATACCGGAAATCTTAATACAGAAATGTAAATAAATTTCGTTTCTTTTTAACGGATAAAAATAAAATGCAAGAAAAAAACTCGCCGTTTCATAATCGTTAATTCATTTATTTCTGAGACTACCATTTCGTTATAAAAATGGTAGAACTTCTTTTCATTCAAAATACGTAGCAAGAAGAAATGTAAGAAATGTTAGCTTCATAATAATGTCGTACAATCTCAGTAGCACAAATAAACATATTTTTACAACTACATTATTTGGCACCATTTTAAAAAACAAGTCGAATTACTTCTTATTCTACCTCTCCCCCAAAATTTACCTTTCTCTCGTCAACCAAGTACTTGTCTAGATCTTCCCCCTCTGCCACCACATTGCTGGGTAGGATGTACGCATCATTTCGAATCGACCGCGCCACGACCAAGCGCACGTGCAAGGTTGTCTGCAACTCCTTCATAAGTGCCGCACTTCCCGCTTTTCCCGACATTTTTGCGAGATTTAGGGAATTAGCGAGAATAATTTTGTCGCCTCGTTGCAGCCGTCCATCCAGATCGGCATTGCTGCCTACCGTAATTCCAGATACGACTAATCCATGTCCAACAATGTGGTCCGAGTAGGACCAGTTTACTCCAAATTTCATGTCTTTAAATGGTTTCGACAGCTCGATAACTTGAACGAGGGCGTTCTTCGTGTTGAACTGTGTACAATTTAAGCGGGAAATTCAAAAATTAATTTATAGGTGACTTAATAAGGGAACGTTCATAAATTACGTAACGCGAGAATGGGAGGGGAGGGGGTCTAAGCCTCCAATGTTATTGTGTTTAAGAGGCACATGTTAAGGGAAAGAGCAGGGTATAGAAAATCACAATTTTTAAGATAGAAATTTATGAACGTCCCCTGACGCTATGTTTTAAATTTGTATGCTAAAACTTACCATTTTGTGGCAGCGGTGAGTCAGCCGGATGTCGGGTTTGTTTCGGGGGGAGTGGTTCTTCTAGGGGAGGATTATCGTTGCCCGAAGGGGTTTCGTCCGTGGATTTAAAAACACCATTGAGTACAATAAACAAAGCGAGAAAGATGACTTGTAGAATGCAGTAAATCAACAGGCTTTCCCTAGAAAAATAAGGTGAAATTCAGCACAAATTATTACCAAAATTTGTACCCTGGGTTACTTGGATTGTTCATAAAGTTGTGCTTTTTCGGATTTCGTGTTAAAAAATGTGTATATGTATCTATTTGCAACAAAACTGGGAATAGTCGACAAACTTGGTTGCAAGTTAAATAAGGATTGTCACTGTCTGAGAAAAAGAAGTCATGGTTGACAAGAAAGGGACAAATTTGGGTTAAAAATAGCTAAGACTAAGGGTCGATACTGGCCGGATTAATGCAGGTAACACAGCTGTAAGGGATACGTGATATGTGATACGGCCACTTTTGATAAGTTTTGATTATTTTTCCAATTTTCCCACATGAATACATGTTAATGCTAAACATTACTCGAATTAAACCGCATTACCAACTTATTTTCTCAGAATTTGATGGAGAATATGAATATAAACTCAAATTTTGAAAATTTTAAGTTGTACACATCGCATTAAACTGACATTGCGAAGTTTTGGTCAAAGTTTGTATGAAGCATTTTTTAACGTGCAACAGTGATTATTTATATGTACATATAAATATGAAAGATATTGGATATACGTACATATATCATTTAAAGGGAAAATCCGAAGGCATTTGTAAGTATATTGTGTCACAAAAAGAGGTGACCATTTTATATATAATTTGTAGATTTATATAAAATTGTCGGTTCTGGCATTTCTGAGATATTATACTCAAAATAAAAGTTGTGAAAAATTTACCAAAGAACAAGATTGAGTAAAGAAAAAAAATAATAGCGCAGCAATTGTTTAAAATTTATTTCACTGTTGCGTATAATTTGTCCAAAAGTTGTGGAAATTAATTTTGGCAATTGTTGGATGTGTCATCCTCTTGTTTACTCAACCTTGGACAAATTTTGGTTAGGTATATTTTACATCAGCGTACTAAAAATCGGTCTTGGGTTGCTTCTTAACCTCACCTCACCTCATTAAAACAATCACCTAGTATCCAATTTATACTTCGTTTATTTACTCTGGCTAGGATATTTATACTTCGTTTTACATGTCTCTGGCCTTTATGTATGTATACACATTTCATAGTCATGTTTTATTTTTATTAATCCTGATAATTATGCATATACGTAATTAACGATCTTCATCAATTCCAAATTCAAGTCCGTAATACGTATAACACGCAGGCAAATAAATTGTGCTGGTTATAAAAAACTAAGTGGTTGCTGTCTAAGCCGCAGATATACGAAGAAATACTTATGTAAATGTGGTATAAACTAACCATTTGTTTGTGCACGCCAGTGCATAAATATAAATACATACGATATAAATACGCCGCTAAAAGTTTTAAGAAAACGGACTATTCCGTTCAAATTCATATACGATACGACAAAAACATTATAATCGGTTACACGGCTAATAAAGCTACTTACATGAACGTAAAGGGTATGTACATATACGTATCTGTCTAAAATATGGCATGATATTAGATAAATTACTTCTTTAAGTACGTCACAGGTACTAATTTATTCGAAATGTATCTTAAAGAATGCTTATTACCTATAATTCGAGGCCAACACGACAATAAGCACTGTTTGTTAAGAATAGGGTGGAACATTTCTTTTTTACTAGTAACCTAACACTCTCAAAAGGATCTAGTTGTAAACTAAGCCATTTCTGATCAGTGATAAAACGTCAACTATTTGTGGGTACAGGGAAACTTGGATCGAACCGGTCCTCTGAGCGTCCGATTTGCCTGGCACCGATATTGGCTCAGATGTGTCATCCACATCGCCGTTACATTATAAAACGTTCAAGGTGATCAACCAAATTTTCTGGTGCACTACCTTCCACTTCAGAAACCTCTGTCTCGATTTCACTCGAACTTTCTATTCATGTTCTCGCCTACGAAGATCAATAATGTTACCGCACTTACTTTTTACCCTGTATACTGCAATCTCCGTATGTATGCGTTCCTCCGAGAGTGCAACACTTTGGGAAGGGTTATTTCTCGATGCCGATCTAATCTTCGTATTTACCCCGGAGTGCTGGAAGTCAATTAACGTCGATTCTGACTACGCTTACTTTAATTTTGTAATGGCCGGTAATCCCTACACCCCACTCCAAAACTTCGTATTTTGTCATTTTCCATCCCACTTTATGATGCTAGAAATATTTTACTCCCAGGATGGGTACAAGCCCGTTGAGAAAGTAGCACGACCGACGGCCACTTTTATCCCACTACACAGGAGTATGGGGTACGCAACGATTGGGCGTCTTAAGTCTGAACTCCTAATCCACATCGTCGACAAGGTTTTGCGACCAAGTTACATCTTTGGTCACACTCAACTTTACAGAGACGGGGCCCCTTCTAACCACATAGCTCAATTTTTATACAAGTCGAAACTAATTATTTTCGAGGACAGTATCACTTCTCCCCTCTTCATCCCATGTTTGACATGTCACCCCGTCGTCTCTTCACGCCTCGCGACCATGCTCTCGCTCGCGAATATTCGGATAGCATGGAACGCCCAAAATATGAATATGCATAAATATTATCTATTCGTTAACGACAAAGTTAGCGTAAAGTGTGGTTTACTCCACATTGGAGTTGCCAATCAAAGCTACCATGATGTCTGTCAAGTTGTAGAAATTGCGAAAAAGTATAATCTGACTCTATTGGAGTATAAGAGAGATTTCGAGATCTTCATAACCAATCCAAGTTTTGGCATCGCAATCTTTGTAAAATACAATGAAATTCATTTCGACCAACACGTCTATCAAGTTGATTTCGTTTATACAAACTTCATAACTGTCACCAACCCTCCATCCCCTGCAAGCGGGATTGCTACTTTCGTATACCCTTTCGACTGGGAGACTTGGACGAGCCTCTTGGTCACCATTATATCAGCTGCTGCATGTTTGACTCTACTGGTGCCCCCGGGCTTAGGCAATGGTTCCTGGATTGATTGTGCTGCGATCATGATGGATAAGATGATCACCGTTGCTAACATATTTCTGGGAAATATTGGAGAGACTAGTGGAAAAGCGTACCGGACTGCGAAGGCGGCATTTATCTTACTTGCCTTGTGGTTCTTTGGATATATGTTCCTGATCGTAAATTTTTATCAAGGCTCGATATATTCATATCTGACCGTCCCTGTCCTACCCAAAACTCCAGGGGATATTCAAGAACTTGCTAACTCCGATATTTCCATGGTAGCAATGGATACGTATATTAATGAACTTAACTTCTTGGAAGAACCTACGTTACTGGATAATATAATCCCCCAACTAATCTCTAGCCCTGGTAATAGTCCAGAATTTATCCAATTCATAAAACAAATTCAACAAAAGACTTTATCTATCAATGACCAAACAGTGGCATATTTAGTAGATAAAATTATGAGTGAAAATTCAACACGAACTCATCCAATGATCGCATTACTAATTGCCGAAAGTAAGATACAATATTTAACGAAAGTAATTAAGATTTTCGGAAATCGCCATATTGTCACGAACATAGGAAAGTCGCCAATCCGGACGATAAAGATGACAATCGGGAATACAAATTTATTGTCAGCGTATTTTTCTAATGACTGGGAACGCATGAAGGAATCTGGTTTGAGTAAGATGTGGGCTGGTGTTTTTAGTGTTAGTACATTATTGCGGGAAAAGGAAACTCTTTTGCGAATGAATAATTATTTTAAAGCTGTTCAGCGCTCCTTTGGTCATTTGAAGGAGAAAATAACAATTCATGAATCAAGCCCCGTCTCCCTGGATAGAATTCTACCCGCTTTCTTTCTATGTTCTGTCCCCATGGTACTTGGACTTGTTGCATTCGTAACAGAAAATAGGAAATACCTCACAGTACAGGAAAATACTATTATTCTGACTGAAGGATTGTTGAATTTTGAAAAATTTTGTATAATTTGGTGCATCTATAAGTATTTCACAATTCGAAGAAGATTGGTAGGGCATAAAGCCACCCGAACTATTTTCGCATAATTTATAATAGTTAACATAGGTATATACATATTTATAACAAATCGAAAGAACTCAAATAACTTAATTTTTAAAGATAGCTTTATACAATCATCACAATATCTATTCATGAAGCTGCAGACAAGATTACTCGCCTGAATTAGGTATATAGGTCCATAAGAAACCATTTTGCAATTTATTATATATTCAAACAATGTGTAAGGCCGAGCGAGCATGATAAGATCAGTGGTGGAGATAATGATCACTAAAATTTTCAAATAAGTATTTAAGTACATAGTATTTAGTATTTAGAGTGGGTAAAATTTAATATGCAATAGAGAAATTTTAAGAAATTTTTTTTTGAGTGGTCGGGGAACCCATGAGGATCTCTTTGAACAGAACTGACGCTGACTTGGTTTTATTCTGCATCATGTGGATTTTAAATAACTACATAAATGCATGTCATTAACTCCAGAAAAAGCGTTTCACTAATTAATTCAATCTAAATTTTATTTATTTTAATTACTTTAAAATTAAAACTGGATACCGTTGTAGCTGTAATTATAACTAGCTTTAACGAAGATATGGATTACATTAAATGCGTTTCTTAATTAATCAACCTACGACTGCGCGTCAACTGTCTTCGTTCGGATTAATATAAATACTGTTGGGTCCAATTACAATTGCCAGGTTATTTTGGGAAATAAACGACGTAAAGCCTTGCTCATTTACCTGCGTGTATAATAGCACACAAAATTATTAATTTTCGAACGATTTATTGGTAAAATTAATCATTTTAACTGACAAACCTTAATTCCATCGATAGTCACATATCGCATTGATCTGCATAAAAGGAGTGCATATTTGAGCCTATCAGTCATCAATGCGGTGACGTCAACGGGTATTAAAAATTCGATCTGCGTATTTTCTATTCCTGTATAGAAATTATGAAATTTACGAATCGGTCTACAATTTTTTTATAGAAAATTTTAAAAATTTGATGCTCGCTATCAGATAAAATTTAAAGGAATCAAAATCCGAAACAAGCCGACAGATTTTCAAAATTGGAAATTATGATTTTAATCTGCCATAATTTGCGCCACTTTTTGACCACAAAACTTACCCTCCCATACTGCTACGCCTTCCAAAATTGCTGCTAACGTATTCATATTCGCCATTTTATGAATCACCACCTTCACCCGCGGTAAATTCAAATTTCTAAATGAGTACAATGTTGCTCTGAGACGGTAAAAGGTATTGGCATGATCCCCCCAATCGTCCCACAACGAGGACAAGGTCAACTTTAATTTGCTTAAATTTGGACATAACTTCATCAACTGCTTCCGTATCCTCCGAGGGTAGAAGAGTCAGTGTTGTAAGGCTAATCGAAGTCTCAGACAACTTTGGGAAATTTTGTGCAAAGGCCATCCACATTTCCCGCCAGTGGGGTCCCACTTTTGCGTGTAGAATTAGGCGGAGTTCTTCAACAGACTCATTAATTTTTGGTAAAATGTGAACAAGCTTTTCGAGGAAGGTGTCTCCTTCAAAATTTTCATCGCTTGCTGGACTGCAATCGCAGCCGATAACGATCGTAATCTTCCTGGCTAGCTGTGGATTGAAATATTTCAGGTCCTTGCAGGATTCCTTATCACGGCAAGAACAACATGACTCGACCGCTTTAAAGGTCACGCCACATCGTCGCCCAAGTGAGACGCAAGCAATGTCTGCCCAAACAGGGCACACGAGTCGTATCGACTTGAGCAGGGTTTCGTCATCCAAGAAAGAAAATACTTTGTCCAAAATCTAAAAAAAGAGTGAGTGATCAGTGAAATAAAAAGGTATACATACATATGTTTGCATCTAGCCATTGTCAATTATAATGTGCATATCTACAGTATACAAATTCACTGAGGATCTATTTTTCCAGATTAAAGCTTACCTTTACTGTACCTTTACTTTGTGCTTTAAGGTATAATATTGTTTCGTAACTGGAGTAGGACTAATGCGTTTAAATTTGGTAGAAATTTCAACATCGTACCTAAATTTTAAATATGTAAATTGAAAACAATATGTGTGAAAGAGGAATGTACATATTTATATGGTGGTATACATATTTGTAATCAGTCATGTTAATGCAGCCTTATGCAAAACGCTAAAATGTTTTTTTCTAAAATGGGGAATCGAATTTTGAAGCAAATGTTATGGAAATAATATAAAATTTCAAAGTTCCGGCATTTTTTGCATTATGCAATCCAAAATCTATCGTATTATTTATACATTTCTAATCCCTTACATACTTACCAGAGGGTTCATTGCAGCCATATTCGATGCAAGGTTGACGACACGGTTAAATCTTGTTTCCAGACTAAGGACATCATCCATGATTACCGATTAAAGTTAATTTGTCTGAGATATATGACATACTTTGACATATGTAGGCACCAGGGAGCAAGTCCGATATGTTTATGAACCAGTGAACATTTCTTTATTATGTCTCCTTGTAGTGATAAATATTAATTGTGTTTTGGGATGACAGGGTGAAATTAATTAAATTAATGTAACAAGTTCCAAACCAAAAATACTCCCATATGAATGATTAGACGCAGGCTGATATTCGCAGGAATATCCGGGGAAATTCCAAATTATACACCATGCATCTTATGCAACCACAAGAAACACTTTGGGTGGGCAATGCAAAGCGAAGATGATCCCATGTTTACCGGAAAAAATTTCTGTTCCCAGATTAGACCATAATTCAACTTTTTAGCTCAGATGGAACGGTAAGAGTGTGTAAGGAGCCCAAAGAAGTTTCAAGGAATTAATTTCTGAGACAAATTATCGAACATAGCAGAGATAAGGAAATCTAAGCTGTGTGAACCGCTAAACCCTGGTATGAAACTTTCGAAATCTTGCAGGGAGGTCAGGTTTTGGGGCAGTATATGTTGCCACAGGGTAGTAGCACTGACGTGCGTCGATGGGATCATGACCAAAGCGGTTTACCTTGCTTTGTTAGAAATAAGTCTTGGCCAATTCACAACAAAGAAAGACTTTGGTCATAGATTTATTTTCAACAATTGCCGGATATTAGACAAATATTACAAAAATCATCTTAAATGCCTCAAGGATAATAATACAAAGGTTTTGGACTGGACACTAAAATTTCTTGACCTCAACTCGATCGAGCATAACCCAAAACCCCTGCGGCGTCTGGTGACAACACCAAAACCGATAAGCACGGCTCCCCGACACACCGTGATAACAGAAAATAAATAAAGATCGACCATAGCATAACCGAAAGGTTGGTGGATTAGATGCCCAAACGATTTCAATCAGTTATTGGGGTCTAACGAAATATTGAACCGCTCCTACCCCCGTAGCATTAATTATGTAACGTGCAATTTGCAATATTTTGACATTAACATATTTGTGGATTCAACAGTTTTATCTCCATTCCTCCGAAAATTTGCCTCAATGTAGTCCAATATATGGTGAATAATTGGTATGAAAACAATTTTGAAATATCTACCTGTTCTTGGGAAAATTGAAGTTGAATTTGAAATTGAAAATCGTAGCATTAAATAAGTTACATACTGTATGCCCATAAATTTAGAGTTTTTCAGTCAGAATAATTATGTACAAGTTGGATGTGGGGCATACATGTATGAGGTCAAATGACGAGTGCATTGATGATTGAAATAAGTTAAAGTAAGTACGTAAATGTGAAAGAATGGACAAAGAAGCTAATTATAACTTGAGTTTTATGTTGGTTTTGAAGTGCAATAGAGAATATTCGTTCCTCTTTCGAGAGCAAAACTTACGTGTAAAACAAGATTTTGATCTGCATGAAATTATTACGCGGAATTTTGATTATACGCTCATAGCATTACACATATGTAAGTATACATGTCTGAGTGTATCAAGTGTTCTCAAAATTTCTTCCTTCCCGGCCTGAAGCAGTATCAAAGTTCGAAACGTCCACATCTTAATTGGCCCTTAATTTGATTTCCATGCTACTAAATAAACAATACGCCTCGCTCCTACTTGCTAAGGAAAATCTGATTTAATCACTTGTTTTATAAATATTTTGGGTTGCAGAATCATTTCCACACAAGCAAGTTCATAGTAAATGTGACACCGGCTTTAGAATCTGACTACCTGAGTCAGCCCAACAAAGAGGCAAGCCCAGGCCCTCCAATATGAATAACTTTAATCTTCCCGCCCTTCATGGAGTCGAACATGGAGAGCATTTTGAAGAGCTTGCTTCCTCCTGCAGATGCCATTTCGCCATCGCCAAAGCCAAACTTTAGCCTTTGCACGTGTTTCTCCTCCCCAGATTCGTCAAGTTCTTTAATTTCGTCGCTTTCTTCTTTCTCGTCGTCTTCTGGTTCCGGTTTTTGAGTTTTCGGAGGAGGTGTCTTCGGCTTTTCGGGCACCCATCTAAATTTTTATCATACATAATAATATGCACTCTTAAAAATAAGGTTACCCATTCGATAAATACACATATTTGAATTCTAAGTTATGTAAACTATACTAAATCCAGAGTAAAGTTGACTTGATAAAGTATAAATTTTACTCTGGATTTAGTCTGCATAAAGGGTGTTAATAAAGTCCGATCCCATGCATTTTTTGGAGCGTGGTTGTTACAAATTCAGCTGGAACTTTTGAACCAGTGAAGTTATTTATTTCAAATTTTTACCATGGGAGGAACAACTAAACGTGTAAGTCATGAGCATCTTAGAGTTGAGATACAAACATTGCATCAGCAGGGGCTTAAACCTACAGAAATTGTGCAAAAATTGGGCTGCAGCCGCAGAACTGTTTGGAAATGGAAGAATAAAAATTTTGTCCACGACAAAAAGCGACCAGGGCGACCCAGAAAGGTGTCACCTACCACAAAAAGAATGATTAAAAACAGACTTTGCAAGAAAACCGGTAGTTCATTACGTAATTGAGCAAGGGAGTTAAATGACTCAAAACGCTATAAAGAGAAGAAGAAGCAAATTAACTGTGTGACCGTGCAAAAATTTGTGAAAACTACGAAGTGGGGTCACACAGCTTACAAACTAACCAAAAAAACCTCTCATGTCACAAAAATATATCGATGACCGTCTGAAATTTGAAGAACTCCTTCAGAAAAGTGCCCATTTGAGTGAAAAAAGACTTGGTGAAGAATTGCGCAGTCACATCCTTTGGACTGACGAATCTATTATTGAACTATATCCAAAATTGAACCAACAAAATGTTCGTTACAGGACAGAAAACAAATCGGATGTACCATCAAGAGCGATCCCAAAATTCGGGCTTAAAGTTATGGTAGCGGGTGGATTTTGTGCACGTTGCGTGACCCCTCTACATATCATACCAAAAGGCCAATCAGTCAATGCAAAGCATTATATGGAAAAAATATTACCTATCTATTTCGATAGCATGGGGAACAAGGAAATATTTCCGAATGAAAGAAAAATAGTTTTCATGCAGGATGGTGCTATAGCCCATACAGCAAAAGCGAGTTTGAGTCTCATCAAGACGCAAGTTTCAACGGTCTGGAGCAAGGGGGTGTGGGCCGCTAACGGCCCAGATTTGAATCCCCTGAAGAACCAGTGGTCCATACTTAAGGAAAATGTATACAAAGAGCCACAACCCCGGACGAGGGAAGAGCTAGTAAAAAAAAGTTCAAGATGTATGGAATTCGATTTCCAGAGGCACATTGGAAAAATTAGCACAGAGCCTTAAACAAAGAGTTGAGGGCATGGTTAAAGTAAATGGTAACAAGACCAAATACTAAGGTAAATATGTCGAACATTTTTTGTAAGTATCACGGGTAGTTTTTTTTATACTAGCCTTCACTTTTTTACAGGAAAAATGGGATCGGACTTTATTAACACCCTGTAGTTTACATAATTTTGAATTCAGAGTGCATTCACTTTTCAAAAGGGTAACATTTTTTGAAGAGTGTGGGTAAGTCAGTAAATAAAAAAATATTGCATTTCCGAACGTCTTACAGTTTTCCTTGACAATCTCCTAACAAAGGTTTTCCACTCTTATACGCCTTGCAAACTTCTTCCTCCGTGTGACAAATGGGTTTCATATCGTTCGGATTGCTGGCTTCTTGACTAATGAAATTTCCCACGGGGTAATACTGCCCAGCCACTTGGACCTCGGTGCCGCCCTCGTTGTGCTGAACGGCGAAACCCATCCCGAGCTGAGGACCAGATTAGGTGCAGTATTTAGTCTTTCATGCGTTAAAGGTTAGTCTCATTATTTATCCTTTCCTCCATTTCACCCTGTTACAAACCCGGTATTGTGAGGCATGGTAATGATTTATCAGTACTAAAATTGTTATCGCTTGGCTTGATAATTACGCCGGTTCGTAACAAGTTGCTACCGCGACGGTAAAACTTTAACAACGTGCTATTACACCGCCGTAATACTTATCAATAGCACTTTGGTAGAGTCATTACTAAAGCAATACAGAATACCGCTTGGTATTATTTTACTACTGGATTTCTAAGAGTGTTGTAATGACCTATCTATTTAGTTAGCTAACCTCGACACTTGACCTCCACAAGACCTGCGTGTCATGATAGAGATTGAATTCGCCCTTCGCATTCTTTTTGGGGTAGCGCTCCTCATCACAGATCTCGTAGTACCAAGCGTCTACGGCCTGCCTATTAGTTATCTGCGAAATTGTGATGATCCTTCTTGTTCATAAGTTAAATGCATATATAAATTTACTTACTTGGTTAAAATTTACGTTTTTCATAGATATGGGAACGTTCACAAAATAGCAATTTCCACCCCCTCCCCCCTCGTAACGGGTTACACCCATTTTTAACATAGCTTAAGCTGACCTGTGACGAGACATCGCGACATAATGCATGTACATCTCTGGCTGCTACACATGACAAACCATGCAAATGCAGCATTTACCGAGATTCATTCAGACACATGTGAGCATATACATATATATTATTAATATGTGCAAAAACTATACTCTGCATACATATATGTATCAAATACGTAATCATGGAAGAGATTGCAACTTAATGGAGAATGTTATTGTTACACACATTCCAACCCCACCCTCCCCTTGGCTACCAACGTTTCGTTGGATTAGTCACCTTTTGTCAAGCTTATAGCAAGTTGGAAATCAAATAGATTTCATAAGCCAAAATTACTTAATTAATTACAAATACAAATTAACTTCTATATTGCCTGTTACATCTTAAAACAATACATAATTGCCTTAAGTGTGCATAATATATTTGCACATATATATATATATATTTGCATTTTAATTTAAAATTAAGAAGAAAAATGTCTGTCTGCATGTTCGTGTGAGTTTGCCTAATTTTTCTTCCAATTTTGCTCTTATCAAATTAAAATAAATTTTCTCAATTTGTGTCAGGTTATTTTAAAAATACTGAGAAAATTTTGGGGTATTCAGAGTGAGATCGGGTCGGTTGTTAAATAGAAACTAAGCGAAGCAAGATAATCACTAACGAATTAAATATAATTATTTTTATGAAACGGAGAAAAATTAAAAAGCTTCTGATATGTTCGATTCTTAATATAATGAGACAAACATTGCTTGGGAACTTGTAAAATCCGTAAATTGTGTAACCTTATTACAGATACTTCATTATAAGGAAAACAATCTTACAATTTTTTGTAAACTTATATACTCAGATTAGATGGGAGTTTCTTCATTTTGTAAAAGATTGTAAAATTATTTTATTAAATAAATATATGGATTTTACGAGATACCAATAAAAGCGTGAATTGGATCGATAAATAAATGTCCATACTTCATTTCTTACCTTCATAATCAATTTATTCTTCCACAGTCTCAGATTCGATGGGGGTTCATGGAGCGTCACGATTAACGGGTTAGGACGCCCACAAAGGGATCAATTTCACACCAGATTTCCATCCGAATTAAGAAATGGAAATCGTACAGTCTTCATCGGAATGGAAATTGAGCCACAGTTTTACAAAGTGCATACCCAATCGCCGGATGAGATTATGCATCTCATTGTTCCATATCTAAACTTTCTTGGAGGATTTGGTAATTCAGAATTTATTTACCAATTACTTACATGCACAATTTTATTAAACTATTTTCGAGCTTTAGAGCCAACACATGTTTGAAATTTAATATGTGAGCCAAATTCCTAATGCAAATTAATAATTAACCAACGTCAGTGTTTCAAAATTATATTTGTATATTAACCTACACTAATTATTCATGCCATATTCCAAAAATCGACATTAAATCATTGGACCATCTCTTTTACAGGGTACGAGATTAAAGGGTTCACCTCTAACTACGAGGACCACGGCAAGAGGACACTCATGTGGAACTTTCAGAGATGTTAATTTGCGAAAATTATGTACACATGATCAACGAAAAATTTTGAAATATACAAGAAGTAAATTTGCTGATCTTGAAGAAATTCAAGTTAAGAAATATATTTTTCATTTATTAATGATATTTATGACATCGTAACTAAAAGAATGCATGCACTTTTAAGATTGATTATCTATGAGAAATGTGTTTATGATTTCTAACGAATTCTTTCTGAATATATTGTTAACAAAATTTGAGACGATTTATCATTGTTTTAACTGATTTAAATAAAGTACCCAATAACCGATAAATATATGTATACTTCTATGTAGTTAAACATAAATGTACTTTACTAAATATGCTAAATGACATTTTCATTGACTTCTGTGACATCCCGGACGCATCAGAATAATTAATTGGTTTATTTATCAGTTCCATGTAGCTCAACTAGTTAAATACCAACTTGCAAAATTTCCAGGGTTAAATCTCTCTTCATAAATCATCTGTTAATTAGAAGTCCCTCAGACAACGTTTTGCATGCAAAATAACCCAAAATCGCTATATTTTTGACAAGTGCAATCTATGCAAACATAATTAATCACTGAACGTATACGTTTTTGTGTATATAAATCATTCCCAGTTGTGCAAAATAAGACATTTATTAGCCAATTAATCGCATTGAAATACTGCATAAAATAATGTACCCGTTTCAAGTTGATTCCACAACTGAAAGTCGGATTGAATTGGAAGGGTGCCATGAGTTCGTAAGTTCCTCAAATTTTCAAAATAAGAAAATTTCCTGATTGAATGTATTTAATTAATTCGTACGTTTTAAACAGCACATCGAAATACGTCCTTGTTCTCGTCCTGTTGGGAATTTCCCTCGCAATTGTCAATGCCGGGTCGCAACCTGGCAAAGGTTCCGGAAACGGGACCCTGATTACCGGGATGGGTGTGGCTCCAACCGGTGCCCCGCCAAATGGGTGTTTCTGGTGTCCAAATCCAGTAAGTGAAGTTACCCATTTTACCTTATTAAACGTTATCTTGAAATTGTTAAAGAAAATAATATTTTCAACAGTGCGGAAAATTCTACTGCTGTCAAAGACAAGCTTGTTCCTACCATCCGCCCAGCAATTGGTGTGCTTGCTGCTAAAGTTTAACAGAACCATATACCAAAAAATATCGCGTATGTATTTCGCCTGAATTTATGTACAGGAATACAAAAATTAACCTTTGCAAATAAATTTTTCAAAATTTTCTTCATCGTTTAATGCGGTCCAATTTATCCTTAACGGGGACACGTGATTGGTGTAGTTTACAGATAATTCTGAAAGTCAAAACTGCGTATCGAGATAAAAATCGATTAGGGAAAATACTGGGTAATAGCCAACCAAACCTTAATCATGACCCAAAACACCGTCGTAATGATTAACGTCAACACTGTCTTGTCAAAGTGACAGAGTTATGTGCACCGTGAAAAGTGGTAGCAGATCTACATATTACCATTGGTAAAGAAATTCACTATTGCATAATTTTTACTCTGCAGAGTCATGTTAACTATCCGTTCCAGTTGTATTTTATGTATAGATAATCTGAACAATCTTTAATATCTGGATAACATTCAATCTACAATATTGTTGTAAATTGGATAATTGATAATGTTTTATGGAAAACGAAGGCATTGCTGAATTACATGTGAATTGTTTACTAGGTAGATTATTCATGAGGCCGAATACATAATTTTGAAAATCAAAGTAAATAGGTCATAATCAAAATTAAAGACTAAGAATGATCAGGGATCGTTTAATGTATATGTAAGTATTGTAACTGGAATGCAAACATAGGTATTCAATCGGTTACTATTCCATCGTACTTAAGAAATCTGGCAGCAGATGCCATTATTAACTGCAATGTATTCTTATCCGTGCAAGTTTGTGCCATCCATTCCTCTGCTTTCTTCACTACAAGGGTCCACGTATTTTTCTGCTCTTGTAAGTGTGTGTTAAAATACGAAATTGCCAAGGCAGTTGCAAAAAGCCCAGTATCGAACCCCTTCTTCGAAGCTTCTACAATAATTAAAAATTAATAAGTTACTTGAAAGTTACGTTATATACACAATTTTATTCAACTTACCAGCCTTCACTTTTTCATAGGGTAGATTTATTGCCTGACACAATTCCATTGTTAGTGAGAATGAGCCATCAAAGTTTTGCTTGTTAACAATAGCAACTAATTTTTCTCCGGCAGATGGTAAAGATGATGCCAATACTAATTGGGATGGGCTATCACTGGATAAATTAAATGGAAAGGAAGCAATGAGTACGACGTAACTTCAGCAAGTATCTCAGGGCTTGAGGAATAAATGGGCTACTTGTTTTTAGTTGCTTTACCGATGAATTGAGTGAAGTGACAACTCATCTCAGTTCAAATTTAAATGAGATGAGTTGAATCGTAAATGAGTTGTCAGAAATCCAAACTAACCTCACGCTCACACTAAATGAGGTCAGGTGAGTTAGCTCGCTTCAGTGTTAAAAATTAATAATTGAGGTCCGCTAAATTCGAGGATTGGCTCGCCTTATGTCAAAATCACAACTCATGTGAGGTTAGGTGAATTACGCTCACCTCACCGGCAAAACTAGTTTAATGTGCATACTCATTTCTTCTGGATATCCGGGAAGCATCATCATACGTAATAGCGCATGTGTCTGCATCACACAATTGCCTATTTTTCTTAAAAATGGACCCAAACTAGGACCCAATCCTAGAGCCCAACTTTGAAGTAGAACGCACGAATCCAGAAATCATAGACATATGCGCGGTGACGTCCGTAGTATCCATCGACACGTAATGACGTGATGGACCCGCTGGACTATCTAGAGAAAGAACCTGTCGCCGTTCAACGAATCCAATGTCTAAGCATCTCCGATTTTCATCCACAGCGATGTAGGAAGTGTGTTTAGAAGTTATCCCTAGATAACAGGAATTCGAAATTTAGGTACGCATTGTATAAATGTATTTGGGGGTTAGATTTCTAATACCGTGTTTTACTCCGAGCGAAATAATTTGATCTTTGATGATTTCGCTCGTAAATTTATCACGCATCGAGGTTTCCTCTATTTCCAATTCCCGAATTAATTTTACAACCGCCAGTTTGTGGAGCATTTCCGTGTTTCCAAGCACGTTAGCGTCACTCATCTGGCGCAAAATAAACGTATATGTTTAGTCTCAAATAAATTAATGCAATCTTTAGCTCTTACCGAGATATTTAAAGTCAACGGTCCATCAGGCGAATTAGCGGTAATCATAACTCCACTCGGTTTGTCAACACCAGGATGGAAGATCCCAAATACTACCATTTGCTGGCCGTCAAATATCGGTGGTATGTTCTTAGGTGATTGTGAAAATGTTTTTTCTTTAATTATTTCTGGTTGCAGTGGTTTGTTATATCCGAAAAGGGTTTTCTCTGGGTTAAGTTCCACGCTTGTTGCACTTGAAAGTCCAATCCATTCCAAATTTATTTCTATGTAATATGTAAAAAATTAGTTCTTGTTACATCCTATTCTTTAACTATTGGTGGTCCATTTACCAGTTAAAGACGGCTGCAGAGAGTTCTTTAATTGACTTAGTGTCGCATTTTGAATGCTATCATCCCCTTCGACAAATGCGCACGTTCCCCCGCCCGCCGTCGCAATTCCTTGAACCAGGTAATGGGATGCAGACGGCCCAATGCCCAGTGCGAAAAGTCTGGAGTTGTGGGCATTCTGCTTTACGAGAGAAATTACTTGGTCAGTGTTGGAAATCTGAAATTACACGAATTGACGTTATATAATGACTAATAAATATACGCATGTACTCAATTTTAAATTACCGCTCCATCCGTAATCACAAAAATTTGTCTCAAGTAACCACGGATATGTGGTCTGGAATAAATGTCCTTCAGAGGTGCAAGTATTTCAGTTCCTCCCAAATTTGCCGAAATACCTGAAATAAGCAATGTTGGAAATCATTATGATTTCGTTTTCTTTACGAGAGTGTTTCTCATACTTTTAGCATAATTTACTGTTTCATGTAAGCTCTCTGGTCCATATTTTAAACTTCCTTCCTTGAACAGAAGCTCGTAACTCGATCCGAATCCGATAACACTAAAATAACAGTCAGTTGGCAGAGAGTGCAGGAAAAGCTGTACACAATACATATTTCTGACAATTAGAAAGGGACGGATTTCTTTCAAAAATTGCTTTACTTGCATACTTGTAAGGCAGCGCTTGCCATTCGAATGCTATATCCACCCATGGATCCTGAACGATCCACAAGAATAATAAGCTCAACTTTCTCCTCGTTCAATGCAAAGGATGGAATAAGATGAGTCATTGCGGCTGTGGATCCACTCTCTAAAGTCTGATAAAAACGAGGTGACTTATTATGAATGGTTAGACTGGAGTGACGTAGGGCAGAGGTCGCTGAAGCATGAAGATTGCGTGAAGATTTCTCTATACTGTTTTGGGATGTTTTCATTAGAGATGAGTCAGGTCACAGGGTCAACCTGGTTAAAGCGATCGGATCGGGCTTTCGAAATGTTGGACGTGACCTTTCTTAGAAGCTATTGAGGGTATTCATTATTTCTTCGTATCCTTAGTATTCTTCGTATCGTAAAATAACTTACGAAGCTTACGAGATTTTGTCATCGAAAATCACGTTACTACGCTTACGATTTTTACTAAGCTTGACCCCTTGTTTTTTCTTCGTAAACTATTTTACGATACGATGGATACGAAGAAATAATGAATACCCTCATTATGGTACGGGTAACCTATTTCACCCGCGCCCCGAACAGGCTCGGGTGGATCGGGTTCAGAAAGTGCCCGAGTTGGGTTTTTCAAAACATTTCGCCCGACCCGATAAATTCCGTTGGTTACACTGGTTTCCTAACCTCTCCTATCCTCAAAGCTTCCGGGGCCATGACCAGACTGACATTAAAAACTATTTTTGAATTTCACGTGATACTTAGATATATGTATACCTGACCTCACAATAAACTCTTGGTTTCATAACCGGTTCCATGGGAGTGACTAACAACACATAGTCTCGATCCATCTCGGTCACATTCCCCGAAAGTGTGACAACAGCTTTGTTCCAACTCGGCCGATCTGGAATTGGACCCCTGCTCTCCACTAGGATTTTATGGGATGACAAGCTTTCCACCGATTTTATATCACCCTGAATAGACACAATCACTTTTATGTCGAGAGGCGCTGGAGCACGTGGTGAGAAAGACATGTTGGCCAAATCACGGCTTTTAGCGTCATTATCTGTCGGTGGCACGTATCGCGGTGCGACTGTAGTAGGAATAAAAAATCGGATGGCGTGACAATCCGGGTCATTCTTGACTTCGGTGACATATTCAATCACAACTTTAGCGGAAGCACGGGTTTTAGGAAACCTATTTTAAGCTATAAAGACAAAAATTTATTAATGTATTTATGGCTTGGTAAAAATTGGTTTAATTAAACGAATCACATGAAACACGTCCGGTTTGGTTTCTTCTCCAAGAAACACGGTGTCGTTGTCCATAATTTCCTCATCGTAATCCTTTCTGGCATCTTCTGACGATTTTACTTGTCCCTACACCCATAATTCGGCTTAATTAAATTATGGATTTTCCCGCATTGAGAATCAAATTGAATAATGTGCCTCATGCCATTTTTTGGGGGTACCCGACCGTTCCCATGTAGGTATACAGTAAAGTACCCGACCGGATATCTCAAAGTGCCCGATTTACACTGAATACTTTCGCGTTCATTTTTTTTGTTTGAATAGTAAAACCTTTAAAAATCCAATCCCACTGATTTCATTTTGGTGGTTGGTATAAAGAGAATATTTGAACGGAATTGGTACATATTTGGTTAAATCTTATATTATCGTGCATATTTTTAAAGAACTCGGTGTATCATAAATATATACTGTCATATACTGTAATAGAGGACTTTTTTTTGCTATGGACCCCCTGAAACATTTGTATTTAAATTTTGATAAATTATAATATTAGCTAGTGAGGTACGTCCAAACAATGAAAAAAATGCGTTTTAAAAAAATCCAAATGTCAAGGGTACCTCTGAGGGACTCATTACATCTTTTACACATATCCCTTCATTGTGGGCCAACCAGAAGTCGTAAAAATATGGGATTTGGATATTTTTTATCTAAATACGATTGTCTAAAACGAACTTCAGTAAGGAGTCGCTGCGTGACCTTTTTGACCTAAAGTTTGACCTCTATAAAAATTAAGTTTTACAGTTTATTAGCATGCCAATTTTAGCTCAATACATGTAACTTTAAAAGGTCAAACTTCAGGTCAAGAAGGTCACGTAGCAGCTCCTTACTGAAGTTCGTTTTAGACAATCGTATTTAGATAAAAAATATCCAAACCCCATATTTTTACGACTTCTGGTTGGCCCACAATGAAGGGATATGTGTAAAAGATGTAATGAGTCCTTCAGAGGTACCCTTGACATTTGGATTTTTTTAAAACGCATTTTTTTCATTGTTTGGACGTACCTCACTAGCTAATATTATAATTTATCAAAATTTAAATACAAATGTTTCAGGGGGTCCATAGCAAAAAAAAGTCCTCAATAGGCAGTTTGCATAAGGTACGCTACGGTACGCACAGTCAATCCAAGAAGTATTGGCAACCCTCACGGAAGCTAAACCTAATTGGCTATTACTTTTGAATGCATTATCCAATTAGCTTGAAATTTTGCATATATTTGACAAATCTAATGTGGAACTCGGTGATAATAATCCTTTGTTGATTAAAAATAGATTGACACGATTTGTATATAATTTGTTGGAAAATTGGCGAAATTAACCCACAAAAAGTATTGGCAACCCTCAGCTTAAAAAATCATGATTAAAGATACTGCAATTTTGTTTTGATAAACTACTTCTAGTACCGCGTAGCACCTCCCCTCGACGCAATAAGAGCAGAAATTCGCCTTTAAAATTGACTCGACCAGTTTCTTTATAACGCTTTTTGATATGGCTTCGCAATCGTCTATGGAACTTTTGGCAAGCTCGTTTTTGGACGCGTGATTTCCCACCAGTCCCTCTTACCTTAACCCGGACAATCAGAATCATATCGGGAGACTGTGCAGCCAACGAAAGAAGCTTAACTTTTTCGGTCTCCAAAAATGTGCATCTTTAATTTGGATGCATGTTTGGGGCCACTGCATTTTTGGAATATGAAATTCCTTCCAGGGTCATGTTTTTTGTCAAATCTTTTCCGATTATCGTTTGGAATGATTACTTATACCGCCTTGGTCATGACTTGATCGATAATGACCAGGTAACTACGCAGCGATCTGGTCATTTAACCCCAAACCATAATTTAACTGCTATATGCACATATTCGTTTTTCTGAGCCTTTTATTGCATCCGGCAGACTTGAACCATTTAATTTGCTCCGAATAAGTAAAATTTGCCTATTTCGGACCAGCAGACCCTTTTTCAGTCATTGAAAGTCTATTAAAGATGGTATTTAGCCCGTTCCCATTTATTGAATTGGTTCGTTTCAGGGACCTTCGCGCCTGTCGGGATACTGGACCCTGAAACCCCATGGCATGATTTTTGATTGATCACCATATTGCATGCTATGTTGACCCCACATTTCGTACTCAAATTCAACATGGTTTTGGAAGCTGAAATCTTCCGATCTCGCGTGATAATTTGCTTAATTAATCCGTTGATTTTAGGATTAGGAGACATTTTTAGCCATATCATGGGAAACCAGGAACTAAAATTATTGCATCATGTTCTTTGGCTACGTTTCGAATAGTAAATATCACGGAGCATGTTTTCTGTCTGAGTTATCGATATCCAAGCTTGATTGTGAAGGAGGCAAGATTATTTCTCGCTCCGCCAAAAGTAGCCCGTTTGGTGTCGACATTTTGGCTTTAGACAGTACCAATCTGGACTTATAAAGCACATAAAGTAAAATTCTTTCATCTGATTAACTTACCTTGACAAGACGCAGAGGTTTGTCGTGATAAAAATTTCGCACAAATAATTATGACACAGGTTGCCAATATTTTTTGGAGGTTCGTACCTGACTCGTTCGTATCAAGGTCAGGATAACGTGCTGGTTATTTAATTTTAGTCGGAAGCATGATTATAATCGAACACTACAATATATTTGCCAAATGCGTGCAAAGTTTCATGCTAATTTGATAATGAATGCAAAAGTTATAGCCAATTTTGCTTAGCTTGCGTGGGGGTTGCCAATACTTGTTGGATTGACTGTATGTTACGTTTTCGTTAAATTTAGAATCCCAAACTGCTTAATAAAAATTTGTGTAACGCCATAAAATTTGTATTACTTTGATAAAAAATGAAAATTTCCCTCATTACTAACATTCATACGCGGTCGGGTAGCAGGGTACTCAGCAAAAATTTCAGGCCGGTATTCCCACTACCCAGTACATATATCCTAAATAAATTTTCTACCTTGATAACTTTTCCATCCAATTCTGCCTGAAAATAGGTCACTGCTCCGTTGGAATCCACTGGAAAAATGTAACTCGCCTCGATCGGAGTGTTTTCATTATTCTCGTAAAATTGGGTAATTCCCACTTGCGCCACGGCGTGAACGACAGACGCCGTGATGGATACAGATTTTAAAGGTATGGGAATTGTTTTACGGGTTTGGGGATTCTTCCAGACCAATCCATACGGGGAGATGTCGAAATCAGCCATTGCCAAAGTTTTACTTCGAAAACTGAAGTGATTATACGAAATATTTTGCTCTTTGTGACTCAAATGAGGTGAATTCAACAAGAATGCAACCAATTTCGGCGAAGCTAAGCTTTTTATCATCCAATGGATCGGACGAACGTACTTATCTATTTACCTGGGATTAAAAGAGTTATGCTGTTTATGGCAATCTGTGCACAAGTCGAGGAAGGCGTTGCGGGCATTTGGGGGTAAGGGAACGTCGGTAAACTAAATATTTCGCTTAGAAACCAAAGTTTTTAAGACCTGCTCTCCCCCATGTCGCGCGTTACACCCCTTTTAACATATGGCGCAAATGGTGATGTCATGCTAACCTGGTATACTCCATATGCAGATGTTGTGGGGCATCGGCTAGTCGCGGGAACATTGTCCCTACGGTTCCGCGGTCACTGATAATAAATAACCTGTAAACAAGTGTATGTTTGGTAAATACACCTTTTCACTAGAATAGGTTTAGATTGGTCAGTTGTATTTGCACAAGTATTTCTCAAACTCAGGATTCATTTCGCCGAATATGTTGGTTTTATCTAGAGATAAAAATTGATTTGCACATAGTTTTATGTTGAAATTATCTACTGCTGAACAATTTACGCGGATTGAGCAGATCAAAAAGGTGCTTAATCACTGGTCTTATATATTTCCGCTAAAATCCAACAAGGTAACGTACTAATGCGTAAAAACATACATACATATGTCATTAACCTCTTATGGACAAAGTACCTAAATACACATATGTATATAGATACAGATATTTGTGTAGGATTTTATTTTCCGTGGAGTACAAAATACACAAATGCCTACATACGTATGTGCACAGGATAAATTACTGTGACAGCAAAATTTCTTAAAAAAACATTTCTTGTTTATCCATTTTGTGAAAATTCGATCGTAAAAGGGTTGATTTTCTTAAATATTTTTTTTTATAAATCTTGGAATTTTCCCTTCACCTTAAGGCCTTATCTCGCGAATCACATCCAATTTCTTTACAAAATTACTTAAAAATTTTACACGGAAAAGTGACCACATCTATTTAGCCAATCCAGAAAAGTGCTAGCCTTTACTTCAATATTAATATCAATTTACTTTTATGCATAATGTAAATGAACAAAGTATATGCATCATCTATGTACGACGAGATTTCCGTCATTTTCTCCCTGCTATTTTTTCATAGACATCCGGAAACGCGTCCAAACAGTTGAGCTCTGTCCTCACCTTATTGTACAACGTTGGATCAAACATTTGATAAAATTCGTCCCGGCTGAACCACGTGTCTGCATACATACCTTTCCAACTACAATAAAAAATATGACATTGACAATTGTGCATAAACAGCTCATAATAATTAATGTTTGTTAGGAAACTTTACAGCAAAAATTACCATTTATTTCCCAGACAAAATTGCTCCAACGATTTGTTCGATTTGTCAACCTCGTAATCATCCGGTTTTCCAGATTGACCATAAATTCCAATATCCATGTGCATCACTTCCGCGTCCCCGTCCACTTTAAAAAATCCCGGTTCGTTCAATGACTTTGCGGGGCAAAGCCATACCGGATATACCTATAAACATACAGGTTTGTTTTTCTAACTCATCATTACACTCTTAGAAATATGGTATAGTCACAACAAGCATTGGTTTCTTGGAGTTAAAGTCACTACCGGTTGGTATTAACGCTGTTCTGACTATTAAACATTTGCTAACGATATGATAAAACTCTAACACCGAGCCAGTAACACACGGTATTACTTATCAAACTTTGGAATAGGCAAATATGTAGGAATACCGCTTGGTATCATCTTAATACTTGATTTCTAAGAGTGCATAATACCCCATTTACATACCTCTACTGTATCGTGGAAATATTGCAGTGCCATCTTCGTCTTATCAATCGGCACGACCAAGTCTTGTACGACCATATTGATCTCGAACAGTCGTCTGAAATAGGGCGGCATAATTTTGTACGTGTAATTGTCACCCGGCCCCGTCCATCCAAAAATTAGGCGAAAAAGAGCGTTATTCACGTATGGGATGTACTGAGGGCCAATCCAGAAGATGCAGTACGTGTGGCGATGATAGTAATCGCGGAGAGGAATGTATTCGACTTTTGGGGCAAGTTGAGACGAAGACAAGAAGGTTTCGACATGTTTGTAGAAGGATTTTTTATACCAACGGGTAACAGAGTTTATCTTAAAGAGAAATTTCATAATCTTAGCGATAAAATTTTAATTAAAAATGCATATCAGTAAGTACATACGTACCTTTCCTGGTTCCGCTTTTGACGATAAGCTCCCCACCATGATAACCCCTTTATCCAAAGAATACATGATCCCTTCGACAAAATCCGGCCCGGGTGATTTGAGAGATTCTTCTGTGATCCGTTCAGTAGCCTCGGCCAACGAGTTGACCGGAATGCAAGATAATTTCACGTATCTGAAAATTTATACACAATTCTTTTGTACGTAAAGTTCTTAATCTTAGATAAATTTATTTGTTTTCAATCACTTTTCCGCCTTGAAAATCCTAATCGTTGCCGAAGTTAGGAAGCCAATGGTCCCATATGAACCGGGAATTGCGTAGAATAAATCCGAATTTTCGTCCTGGTAAAAGGAGATGGAATCATTAGGGGAATTCATTACGAGGCCGCATGATTAACAGAGAAAAAAGTCCCCAAACAATTTTGGCTTGAAATTTTGCCTACGAAATCGTTAATCTACAAGCCTATAAGCTTAATTGTAAGCTTCATTTTCGCTAACGATCCAAATTCGTCGTGAATACCCCCAATTTACCTTGTTTGCATTGACCGCTTCTCCCGAGGCGAGAACAACCTCGTAGGAAATACACGTGTTATGAAATAGTCCATATTTATGAGAGGAAGTTTCTAGCCCAGCCCCACAAATTAGTCCCCCCACCGTCAAAAAGTCAAGTTCCGGCACGACCGGGATTGTCCATCCCTTCGCGTCAAGGATTTTAGTTAAAGGACCCATCTTCACTAACGGTTCGACAGTCACGGTCTGTAAAATAAGAGAAATTATGTGCATGCACGTATTAATTTATAAATTCGCTGTTAGAAATCTGGTACATTAACGCAAATACGGATTTCTCGGTATTAAATTTACTACCACTTGGTATTAAAATTATGTCCAGACTTGCTAAATTCTGGTGCGGCGAACCACCACACCTAAGTTAAGTAAGTGAGCGCACCGGTTCGCCGAGCCAGAAACTAGCAAGTCTGATTATGTCTACTGATCCATAGAACTTTGCTCCCTATCTGGAAAAACTTTAATATTACTTCACCGTACTACTTATGTATCAATACATATATCACTTTGGTAGAGTGATATACACAAGAATACCGCTTTGTATTAGTTGAATACTGGATTTCTAACAATGCAAAAGTTAATTATGTATGCAATTGACCATTGCTTCTTCATCGATTTTAACCACTTCGTCCAAACTGTCCAAGTCAATCCCGGTCATTGTAGCTTTATAAGTAGGGATTCTCAACGACATGGATTTCCACCCGGATCTCGCTGTGCATAATTTTGTCCTCCTCCCATTTGCATTCCAGTCCAAAATCTATAAAATTCGTAACGGATAAAGTAATGAAACTTGATATTGTTAAGCAAATTTTGCGTACCTGTTTCTTCACGTGGTCAACTTTCTTAGCGTGCACTTCTGGTGAATTTACAACCCTGCAGCACAAATTTGCAGAAATAGACTCTAAAATATTTAAGATCGGTAGTGTAACGGCTCGCCCAATTACTAAGAATGGCGTCACATAATATCTGCAAATGTGCAAAATCACCGCCTCAAAAAATCTTGGGCGTGCCATGCTAAATATTTTTGTTCAGATTTTAAACATAATTTCACTCCACGATGTTTTGAGGCTGCCAGCTCAACAATTAATGTGGCGTTTCTGCACAATGGCATCAAGTATAAATATGTTTAGATGAAGCTTCTTTAAAGAAACTTGAGATTGACAAGGACAGAAAAACTGGTTTTCTGTACCAATCAATGTGAAGGTATGTGCAGGTCTCTGTGTATGAAAATTGTGTTATGGGAATGTCGCAATTCATGGTAACATGATGCTAGAACTTGCACTGGTTTTACGGCGTACATATGATGTATGATAAGTAAATACTTATCAACTGTATATCATACATGCACATACCTAGATATGTACATATGTACTTACCTATATACATAAACCGGGTTTAACACTTGATATTATTTAGTACAATCTTTTGTTGCAGTGTTAAAAAATTGATTTATATCATCTAAAATTCTGAGTACTTACATACATGGATAAAATAGTGTTGGGATCGACGGATTCCCACAGTGATTTATTTTTCCCTCTTGAGTAAAATTGTACACTTTTATTTATCCGAATGTAAAGTTTTTATAATACATTTCTAGATTTTCAGACAAACACATACCAAAAAGTATTTCCATTATTATTTGAAAAATGTAAAATTGTAATTAGCTTTTAGCGTAGAGATTTTTTCACAATGACATAAACTTTATAAAAACTTCAACGTGACGAAACCATTTTTTTGGCTCAAATAAATTTGCCGACTAAAAATACATGATACTCAGAAGTACAATTTTTACAAAATTTTTATAATTAATTTTTACATTTTAAATTTAAAAAATTCTTATTACTTTTTTAATCTTTATATTCTTATATTATTTTTATTTTAATTTAATTTATTTATTTTGGGACAAATTTCTCATTTTCTTCAACAAATCCCTTAATAATGAATGGCAGATAGCATTCGAAATATTGCAAATAAAGCAAACTTTTTTTTTACGTTTTTCAACTAAATCTCAGCATAACCTAATTATTTAAATTTTAATATTTTTGACTTTTTCGTAAATATTTTAATGTTTTCTTCATATTAAATACGTACCTACATATTTCGGATTTTTATTAGACAAATACGTATCCGACTTTTTATCATGTTCTCCCCGCTATTTTTTCGTAAACATCTGGAAACCCGTCCAAACAGTTGAGCTCCGTCCTCACTTTGTTGTACAGCGTTGGGTCGAACATTTGATAAAATTCGTCTCGGTTTAACCACGTGTCAGCGTACATACCTTTCGCACTGGGATAAAATATAACACTGATAATTAAGCACAGCACGTAATAGTTTTGTTGTTTTCAATAAAACTTTATAGAAAAAATTACCACTTGTTTTGCAGACAAAACTGCTCCAGCGCCTTGTTTGATTTGTCAGTTTCGTACTCATCAGGTTTTCCAGATTGGCCATAAATTCCAATATCCATGTACATCGGGTTTCCCTCAAATTTAAAAAATCCTGGTTCGTTAAACCCTTTGGCTGGGCAAAGCCACACTGGGTATACCTGAATATATATAATTGTAGAAATCCTTTGTTAAAATAGTTCATAGGCTACTCCACCAAAGTTGTAAATATTTAGAAGTGTCAGTAATGCAGTGTAGGAAGACAAAGGTATGCAATTTTTTACGATTATGATTGTGTAATTTTGATTGTAAGAAGGCCTATCTACAATCTAAACTATCGTCACAATCGCAAAAAATTACTTCTGCTGAACTTCTATTTTAATGACACCTGTTCAAAAATTTAGTTTTCGTTGAAAAGTCAGTCTTGCCGATTTCTGACTGAAGAGTTTCATTCACATTCAGTCATTTTCTTTCAAATTCATTTCACTTCATCCGACCACATTTCTTACTTCGCCCCGTGTTTTAAGGATACTTAGGGTCAAAAATCTTTTCATTGAAGGTCAGGTCGTTCATCCGACATGACGAAATCCTTCCGAAATTTGCATTTAAATGACAGGAAATTCATGGTCATTTACTATCACAATCAGTCAAATGAATGAAAGTGAACAGATATGTATATATGATTATCACATTTACACAATTTATGTATGTACCTCAACCGTATCGTGAAAATATTGCAGCGCCTTCTTCGTCTTTCCAATCGGCACGATCAAGTCTTGTACGACAAGATTGAGTTCGAAAAGTCGTCTGAAATAGGGCGGCATAATTTTGTACGTGTAATTGTCACCGGGCCCCGTCCATCCAAAAAGGTAGCGAAAGAGGGCACTATCGATGTACGGCGTGTAGTGCGGGCATAGCCAGAAAAGGCAGTACGTGTGGCGATGGTAGTAATCCCGGAGAGGAATGTATTCCACTTTCGGGGCAAGTTGAGACAAGGATAAGAAACTTTCGACATGTTTGTAGAAGGATTTTTTATACCAACGGGTAACAGAGTTTATCTTGAAAATTAATAGATACAAATTTAGCGGCAAATTTTGAATTACGAACACAATCTGCATCCTACTCTTCATTGACAAATATTTGAACTTCAACGAAAATTCAGAATTTTGAGAAACTATGTACGTCCCTGCCAGTCTAAAAGTCCCCCGTTAACAATTTTATGGAATTTCAGACTGGTAGTTTCTTAGAAGTTTCTGGAAAAGTTCAGCTCGGTGTGAATGAAGATTATCTACATACATACATACTTTTCCTGGTTCTGGTTTTGATGTCAAGCTCCCCACCATGATAACCCCCTTATCCAAAGAATACATGATCCCTTCAACAAAATCGTGCCCGGGTGATTTAAGAGATTCTTCCGTGATCCGTTCAGTCGCCTCGTCCAACGAGTTGACCCGAATATAAGATAGTTTCACGTATCTGAAAATTTCGTATCAATTTTGCATAAACATATTACTATGTCAAATTGATTATTAGTTTTCAATAACTTTTCCGCCTTGAAAATCCTAATCGTTGCCGCCGTTAGGAAGCCAAGTGTCCCATACGAACCCGGAATTGCGTAGAAAAGGTCTGAATTCTCATCCTGATAAATATGTACATAAACGGAAATGTAACCATTAGGAGTATTCGTTACGAATTAGGAAAATGACAAAGCCTGCAGAAAATTTCGGGTTAAAAATTGATTTTGGAAATGTAGGGGCATTGTTCTATTTGATTTTTTCTAAATTATGCAAACTCGAAAGGAATACCCCCATTATACATATGTATGTATAAATCCAATAGGATTAATTATTCAAAAACATTGTCACACCACAATACGAATTTGACCATTTGCGAAATAAATTTTTGATGTATTTATGTATGTAATACGAGTTAGCATGTTTGCAGCACAATACACATAATTTTGAAAAAAATCGAACAAGTAGATTAGCAAATAAATTCCTCAGCAACATTTTTAACGAACTTTGGGAACTTTACTTTTGTTTTCTGACCGTGCTATTGCACAGTAAAATCTCTGTGGGACGGACAAATACTCGCAACCTTGGCCTCTTTTAACATGCTTTGAAATCACAAAGTGAAAAATTTTCCGCCACACCGAGATTTTTGTTCTGCAATAACGATGCGAACACGTCGTGAATACCCCCAATGAATAATATTGCATGTACATATAATTACCTTACTTGCATTGACCACTTCTCCCGAGGCGAGAACCACCTCGTAGGAAATACACGTGTTATGAAATAGTCCATATTTATGAGAGGAGGTTTCCACCCCAGCCCCACAGATTAGTCCCCCCACCGTCAAAAAGTCCAACTCTGGCACGACCGGGATCGTCCACCCCTTCGCATCGAGGATTTTAGTTAAAGGACCCATCTTCACTAATGGCTCGACAGTTAAGGTCTGTTAAGATCAGAACAATTATGTACGTTGCCTTTAAATTCACTGCTAGAAATCGGGTATGGTCAGACAAGTATTAGTTTTTAGGCGTTCCTAAAGTTACTACCGCTTGGTGTTAATCCATCGACATGGTATTGATCCAATAATAATAATTAGTTCCCCTTAAAAAATATGTCAAGATGTCCTCCGTCCGCAAAAATAATTACATATGTCCACTTTCCACCCTGACTCAATAATTCGCATGTCCACTGTACACTGTGTACGGGCTGTTTTTTCCTGTCTTTTGCTCTTAATGGTCACAAAATTATTGGCATTCGTCCTTGGCAGCTACATATGCTACGAATACCGCGTGATATTAAATATTTACTAGACGTCCCTTTAAGGGTCTAACTATGTAAATATGTACTCATTAATGATATTTAAAATAATTTTAAAAAATTAATGGACCATTGAATTTTCATCGATTTTGACCACTTCATCCAAACTGGACAAGTCAATCCCGGTCATTGTTTTCTTGTAAGCGGGGATTCTCAACGACATTGATTTCCACCCGGGTCTCGCCGTACATAATTTTGTCCTCCCATTTTTATTCCAGTCCAAAATCTATTCATAAAGTAAAAAAACGTGATTTTTTATTTGGTTAAATGGTAGTTTTTTTAAAACTAACTTTTGTCTACCTGTTTCTTAACATGGTCAACTTTTTTAGCATGCGCTTCCGGCGAATTGACCACCTTGCAGCACAAGTTTGAACAAATAAAGTCTACAACCTTTAAAATCAGGAGCGCCAAGGCCCGACCGAGTATGCAGAATGCTGTACCATAATATCTGCAAATGTGTAAAATGATTGCCTCCAAAAATGTGGGGCGTGCCATTCTAAATATTTGAGTCGGGATTTTTCAATTAATAAGAAATAATTTCACTTTAAGCTGTGCTGAGGCTGACAACTAACCAATTATTGTGCTGCAGTGGTATTAGCCACATATACACAAATATGCTTCGACTAACCTTCTTTTAAGGAACTTGAGATTACCAAGGCCAGAAAACTGGTTTTTTACTCATGGAACGTACATATGTACATACACTGTTAAAAATCTGGTAGAGTCATATACATACTCCGTTCTGATATTAATTTGGTAATAATTTACTACCGCAATGGTGATAAATTGTTCCTGAGTTGTAGATTTTTCATTACCACAACATAAGTAAAAGGTAATTCCCGTTAATACCAATTCCCGTAGAGGCATGTATGTACATACTCCGGTCGGTAATGATTTAATACCAGTTTACTAAGAGTGTATGTATGTAAATATGTGTGTGAAGTTGTTGTAATTACAAGCATACATAGTTTTGTTATGGGAATACATTTCGTAATTCGTGAGAAGATGCATGTGCTTTATTAATGTGTACTGGTTTTATTGAATGTGTGTACTTCCATGCACTTACCAAGACCACAGCAACATGATGCTTGATAAGTATTTTGATATTAATTATACATATGTATGTATACAATTTTTAATAACTGATTTACACGGAAGTTTTCGTTGGAAAAATGTAAGAAAATCTGGCGATGAGAATACATATTTGCATATGTATTAAGGATAAGTCTGCCGAGTAATTTTCATAACAAGAAACGAAGCCGCATATGATCTTAAGTTAAGTAATTAGAGTTTAAGTTGGACGTTATGGTTTTATTTTTGAACAAACAAGCGTCTGTTCTGCATAATATTTGAATTTAAAAAAGTCTCCTATTTAATAAATCAATCCATAATTATATCCATACATTCGTCATTCCTCTCCATAATTAATATATTAAACTAATTTAGTAAGCCCACACTTTGGTCATATTTCAAAAGCGGAGTTTTCGTAGTTAACGAATTTCTCCAGGTAAATAATTACCCGGACGTATTTTTAGCAACTTGTTAATCATTAAGAAGGATAATTTGGTTATTTAAACAAATTTCCCTTTGTCGTTATAATCTGACTTGATATTTGATATTTGTGTCCAATCATTCAAATCCAATCCAATCGACCAGAAATTAAACTGCGAAAATTTCTTGATTAAATGCTTGGTCGCTAATCGGCTTCATTGACAATACCTACATACATAAATGCCAACAGTATTACGAACCCTTCATGCCCATATTTATGTATTAGACCGTCATATCGATAAACCCGAAATCAATTCCATCAAACAAATCAAAAATAAACTTTAATTTGTTCGTTATGATTAAAAAGCGAACCAGAAGTAACATAAGTATATTCCGTACTTTTAATAAAAGCTAAATATTTCTGTTGTTTTCCAACATCGAAGCGCAGATAATATGATATTTTCATACGCTCTCAGTTACCAGGTATCGTCAGGCAGGTATTGATTTCTCGGTATAAAGGTTGTTCTCTGTTTGTATTAAAATTGTACCGGTCCGTAAACAATTTGTAAAATTAATATCTGTTCAAAATTTTGTTTTCATTCAAATGTCAGTCATCCCGATTTTTGCCTGAAGATTTTCATGTACATTCAGTCGTTTCCGTTCAAATTCATTTAATTTCTCTTCTCTTTACCCGACTTCGTTTCTTACTTCAACCAATGTATTAAACATATAAACGAAAAGAGTGACAAATTATTGGACTCCCAGTATCCCACCTGAAATGACTGCAACCCTCAGTCATTTTCAGGCAAATGACAGGAAATTCATTTTCATTCATTATCATTCTCTATCATTATCATTCAAATGAATGAAAGTGAACATACTTAACTATTATGTACTTGGCTACCACTTATCAATCTCACTCTGCCATTCAATGGCAACCATTGAGTCACAAATTGGCACTATATTAGTTGTAGCTATGTATGTACAACTAGCGGTATTAGTTGAAGACTGATTTCTAAAAGTGTAGATAAGTCTACAATTTTACCTAAAACAATCACCAAATCACTAACCTCACAGCCAAGTTACGGTGTATGCATGCGTTCGTTTGAACAAAAAAGTCTTACACTAAATTTGCTTGGAAATTGAGCATCATGTATTTCCCTTTGCGTTGCAATACACCCGTGGGAGTCGTCCGACTCGTGAAATTCCTGTATTTTGACCACTATCCATTTCGAAATCAGCTCCTGTATCGATTTTCCTACCGAAAAGGAATTGTACACGTGGAAACAGTGCCAAATCAAGGATCATATGCAAAATTTGTCCCGTCGCTGATCGCTGTCGGAGTAATACTGCTTTCCACCCTTGCAATCTATTACCTTGTAGGGGACGTGGATAATTTGCTGATGGATATTCGATTCTGGGTGTGGCTTGGTTTCATAGCCTTCGACACGTTTTCTACTTTTGCCTATTGCATCGTAACATTTGATGAGGACCAGATACACGTCAAAGTTTGGGAGGATGTGGTTAAGTTTGATTGACATATTCGAAAAGGTATGTGAAGATCAGGGGAAGGCAAGACAGACGGGTTTATAAATAAACCCCTGTTAGTAGAGGTTTTACCACTGTATTTTAAATATTCAACTGTTTACGAGTAAAAAAACAATTCTTGTGAAATAATTTGTGAAATCCGAAAATTGTTGTAAAATAACTTGTACAGGGTGGTTTAAATGCCACGCTATATTTTCAATGGAAAATTTGTAAATGGGAAAACTCCCTAAATCTCCATTAGTCACAAGATTTTAGATTAAAATTTTTAGTATTATTATCAGCACTGACGGAACATTGACGACGAAATTCTTAAAATGTTGAATTTTAGAGACAAAAGTTCGATACCTAATGGAACTTTGTGAATTTTTCCCATCGAAAAACTTTGTGACCATTTAACCACCCTGTACATAATAATAACACGCCTTTAACCTGAGTAAGTAAGACAAATGTGTTAATAAATATTACCTATGCAATTTTACTTCACACCATCGCCCTCCGAGGTCATCCGGAGGGATGATGGTTTACATGTAGTATGCCGGCTCCGCGGCAGAGGACACGTACATTCAAAGCAAAAACTAAAAAATTCCCTAACTAACCAGCTCTCCCCACTCTCCCACACTTCCACAACTCAGTGTTGGTTTGTACGTGGCAGAGGAAGGAACGTGCTCTCCCATTAAATTTTTCCAAGATGGCAGACAATAAGGATAAAACTTCGGAAATCTTGCCAAAAAGGTAAATTTTCATTCCCTAAATTCATAGCTAGCTTTACAAATTTAGTTGTTGTAAATAATTTTTGTTTATTAATGCGTGGCATTAATTATGACAATTTAATTAAATAGAAAACGTGATGAGAAAGACGCTGTGTCAAAGAGGAATAAATTAGACGAAGATAGCCTGAGATCATTGTCGCAGACAGTGAAAGAAAATTCAGAGAATATTCAGGCGCTCTCGGCGTTGCCGTTAGCAATGAAAGAACAAACAGACAAGTAGACAAACTTTTAAAACTATTTGAAAACTATGACCATGATGAGACGCTGCCTCATAATAACATGTCACTTGGGGATGACGACCCAATTACAAATTTGATTTCGTCGGTGGGTGCCACCGATAATACAGTGAAGGGTGAGACCTCACATATAATAAACACAATATAAATAGTGGGTACAAATTCATTTATATGTACTTATTTATTGATCGTAGATCAATTGGACGATAATGTAATAGAAACTTCTATGATTGAAGAAATTTTAAATGCAAGTCAAGTGGATGAGGATTATGGTGCCCTAGTTGAGGATAAAATTGCTGCTGCATTTAAGCGTGTGCTCACCCAAGCAATTTCAAAAGATCAAGCAGAAAAGATCAAAAATGAATTCAAAATCCCAGATAATGTCAAAGAAATGAAGTCACCGAAGGTGAATCCTGAGATTTGGTCACAGCTTCCAAAACGAGCACAAGCGAGCGACAATTTGTGCAGCACTATATCTCAAGGGGACTGGTTGCCCAGATGTCTGTGGCTGGTTTGCTGGCGACCAACGCCAATAAGATTGCACCAGATTTATTGAAAGAATTGTTATAAAAAACAATGGAAGCTGCCACACAATTCGGTGCAGCCCATAGAGAAATGAGCTTGAAGAGGAGGCAACAAATACGGCCATTTCTTGCCCAGGAGAGCGCTGGGATTTGTGGAACGAGTGTACCAATAACCGAAAATCAGTTTGGAAATAATTTGGAGAAAGATCTGATATTGGTACGGGCTTCAGCAAATATCTTGAAAAACCCTTCACCAGCGTTTCGTGGAAACTTTCGTGGTGCATTTACTCAGGGATCATGGTCTTCAAATCAAACGAATGCAGCCGGTTCACGACCGACTTTAAACTGGAGAGGGCCTCTCCTCTCGAGGGGAGGCAGAAGACCATTTCGAGGGAGATCATTCCAAACCCGGCCAACAGAATTAAAAGTAAATAAGATATCTGGTAGATTAAAATATCATTCGAAAAATTGGGCAGATTTGACTGACGGCAAGTATGTACTTGAGACAATAGCTGGTTACAAGCTTCCATTTATATCTATACCGTAGCTACAAAATAGTTTGTATCCTCAAGTATTTAATAACACTGAAGAGCAGTTTATAAAAAACAAGAGGTTTCTCGCCTTCTTGAGATAGGAGCGATTTCAGTTTCTCAGGAAGAGAGTGACCAATTTGTGTCCCCTATTTTCACTGTCCCAAAACCAGACGGTAAAAGACGGTTTAATTTGAATCTTAAAAAGCTTAACAGTTATTTAAAATGTCCACATTTTAAAATGGAGGACTACAGAAGTGTTCTTAATATTATTCACCCAAATATGTATATGGCAACCTTAGATTTACGGGATGCTTATTTTCATGTCCCGGTTGATGAAAATTTTAATAAATTTTTAAAATTCCGAGTGGGAGGTACGCTATGTTGTTTTAATTGCATCCCGTTCGGTTGTTGCACGTGCCCATTAGTTTTTACTAAACTCCTGAAGCCTCTTTTTTAAATGAAATGAAATGAAATGAATTAAATGAATGTGAAATTAAGATCCATGGGCTATCTATCAGTACGATATTTGGACGATTTTTTATTATTTGGAGTTACTGAAGAATTATGCACTAAAAATGTAGTAGCGACACAAGAACTTTTAGAAAGTTTAGGATTCACGGTTAATTTTTCCAAGTCCTGTTTCATCCCATGTAAAGTTATAAAATTTTTGGGGCTTATATTTTATTCTACTCGTATGACATTGGAACTCCCAGAATGTAAAAGAATCAAAATTGAGGAACTGTCAGAAAGAATACTGTCGAGCTAAAACCACCCAAAAATTAGACAAGTGGCTGAATTACAAGGTTGCTATATTTCAGCCTGTCCTGCCATACCGTACGGGCTATTATATACTGATCTTTAGCAATAGATATTTAATTAGCTCTGGATAATAATAATAATAATTATGAAAAGTCAATTTGTTTATCAGCAGAATCAGTGTCGGATAAATTGTGGTGGAAGGAATCAATAATTAAAAGTAAAGTTACAATTGGTGATGATAATTATAATGTAGTTTTTAGTACAGATGCGTCACCCCAAGGATGGGGTTGTTTTTATAATGGGGAAATTGGACATGGTACTTGGTCGTCAACAGAATCGAAATTACACATAAATGTACTCGAGCATCTAGCAATTGAAAGAACCCTACATTTGTTTTCGATGAATTATAGTAAGTGTCGTATCTTGTTAAAGGTAGACAGTCAAGTCGCTATTGCGTACATAAATTGTTTTGGTGGGTGTCACTCAAGGGAGCTGCACCCCACAGCCAAGCGTATTCGGCAGTTTTGTGAAAAAAGGGAAATTTTTTATTAGAGCCACTTATATTGAAAATAAGAAAAATGTTGAAGCTGATTTTGCATCTCGAATACAAATAGAATCGGAATGGATGTTAAACAAAATTTATTTTAATACAATTTGTGAAATTTTTGGCAACCCTGATATTGATCTCTTTGCATCTGGCGTCACTACGCAATGTGACAAATTTTATTCCTATCTACCAGATGCACAATCAGCCGGAGTAGATTCTTTTACAATTCATTGGGTAGGCGGCTTACTTTATGCTTTTCCGGCATTTTGTTTAATAACGAGAGTTTTAAAGAAGATTCGAACTGATAAATGTGGGTGTATTGTTGTGGTGCCATTATGGAAGAGTCAAGTGTGGTACCCAGAATTTGAAAGAATGCGTCAGTCAAACCTGTTAATATTTGGTCCATGCAAAGATTTATTGATCTCTCCTTTTTCAAGCAGACCCCATCCTCTTCACAACAGTCTCCAATTGGGCGCAGTAGTGTTACAAGACAGTCTTTCTTAAATAATGGTTTATCTCCAGAAGTATGTGAACTTTTGTTATCATCGTGCGCGTCGTCCAGTTTGGAACAATATGAATCGTACCTACGCCGGTGGGAGGCATATTGTGTTAAAGTTGAAATAGATATTTTTATGTCAAGTTTGCAACTTGTGCTTAATTTCTCGACTGGTTTCTTTAGGGATGGGCTAGGCTACAGTGGCATAAATACTGCAAGGTCGGCTTTATCATTAATTTTAAGTCCTATCAATGGTGTTGATGTTGGGAAACACCCACTTATGATCAGACTACTTAAGGGAGTTTCTAAATTAAGGCCTGCGCGCCCGAGATATGATAATGTATGGGACGTTGATTTAGTTCTGAAAATGTTTACCTCATGGCCTAAAAACTCGGATCTTTCGATGTTACAATTATCAATTAAATTAGTCGCTTTATTAGCATTGGTGACAGGTCAGAGAGTTCAGACTTTGTCATTAATTAAAATAGGTAATATGAAACGTAATGTTAATGTAGAAATATTCATTCCCGATTTAACAAAGACGTCAGGTGTAAATAAGAATCAACCATGTTTGCTATTATTGCCGTATAAATTAAGTGCAAATCTTTGTGTGGTAAAATGTTTAGAAGAATATTTAAAACGTACTGAAGGTATTAGAAAATGTGACCTATTGTTAGTCTAATATCCTCGTATAAGCCAGTATCGACACAAACTATTAGTCGATGGTTAAAACAATGCTTGTCTCTGGCTGGTATTGATATATCTATTTTTAAGGCGCATAGCTTTAGGCATGCAAGTACAAGTAACGCAGTGGCGAAAGGTGTGAATTTAGATATTGTATTTTCACGAGCAGGGTGGTCTCTTAAATCTAGAACTTTTGCTAAGTTTTACAACAAGCCGTCGGATAAGCGAGGTGATTTTGCAGATGCTGTCCTCTCTTAATTTTATGAATTATTGGTACTATTTTTATTCTAATATGATTGTCAATAAATGTATTATTATTGTTAATTTGTATCTTTCGCGTCAAAGTGTTCTTTAAACGACTACATGTAAACCACCATCCCTCCGGATGACCTCGGAGGGCGATGGTGTGAAGTAAAATTAACGATTAATCGAGCCTTACCTGTAAGGTGAGTAATTGATCGTAATTTTACGATCACCAGAGCCCGAACAAGGTCAGTCCCACCACACCCATCCCTTTTATGTTAGTGGTCACTTTGACGCTATTGCTTTGGACTATTTGAGTTGTGGAAGTGTGGGAGAGTGGGGAGAGCTGGTTAGTTAGGGAACTTTTTTAGTTTTTGCTTTGAATGTACGTGTCCTCTGCCGCGGAACCGGCATACTACATGTAAACCATCATCCCTCCGGATGACCTCGTTCGGGCTCTGGTGATCGTAAAATTACGATCAATTACTCACCTTACAGGTAAGGCTCGATTTATCCATAATTTTCCTTAGAAATATTTGTAAACGTTTCCAAAAGTCTGTGAGTTGCCAGAATTTTCAGATTTTATTTTATCCGCACGATGATGCGAATTCAACTGGGCAGATTTTCTACGCTTTTTACAAAATCACGTGCCCACTTAATTAACATTGGAGGCGGGCTTAAATTCAAAGCAAATCCATCCGATTGACTACGCATCACCGCAATACCAAGGACTGCCTGAATTGCTTTATTAGCTCAATCTGCGTAGCATGAGAGCTATTGAATTCCTCTTGTCCGTCTGTCTGTCCGTCTGTTAACGAGTTTTTTGCATCAATTGATGCTATTTAAAAATCCCCTTGACCATTCTTGAATAAGTTGGGCGCACCATTGGTACAGTCAGGTGCAAATCCTTGAGCCACCCTTATTTTCGTCATCAATTTTGAAAGTGTCATCATAAAATTACCAAATTGAGCAATGATGTGTGCAACACTATCCTACACAAGTGACAGGAGCCACGAAGTCGAAATACACCGCATGCAATTTTTTTCTTCCTAAATGCAAAAAATAGGGGGTGCAAAACTTTAGAGCCACCTAGTTTCTATTTCGAATTTATCCTCTGTTTTTTGGTGTGAGAAAAAATTTAATGATTTTACATTTTTAACTAGTATACCACGAGTTTCCAAGTAGATCGGCGATAATTTTGCGATAACTAAATTTTTTTCCGCATTCATGCGAGCATTGGAAGGTAATTATGACCATTTCAATATGAAGCTATCAGGAGCATTTGGCGCCAGTAAAAATTCCTTAGCAACGTTAAAAACACTCCTTAGCAAAGTTAAAAAAATTCCTTGACAATGTTTAAAAAATTTCTTAGCAAAGTTAAAAAATTCCTTAGCAATGTTAAAAAATTTCCTTAGCAACGTTAAAAAAACTCCTTAGCAACGTTAAAAAAATTCCTTAGCAACGTTAAAAAAATTCCTTAGCAATGTTAAAAAAATTCCTTAGCAACGTTAAAAAAACTCCTTAGCAACGTTAAAAAAATTCCTTAGCAACGTTAAAAAAACTCCTTAGCAACGTTAAAAAAATTCCTTAGCAATGTTTAAAAAATTCCTTAGCAACATTAAAAAATGCCTTAGCAACGTTAACAAATTCCTTGGCCACGTTAACAAAATTCCGTTAACAAAATTCGCGCCAGTTACATATTTACTTCGTTGATCGTGATCCTATGATTGGTTATTTCGTTTAGGACCCTAAATTTGGACCGTCTTTAAGACGGGCTTATAGGCTAGTTGTATATACACACTTATTTTTGTGCCATACAGTTGATGAATCTCGCAATGTTGTCAGGCTTCGGAGGTACAAATCGTGTAAAAATAGCAGATAGCTAAATATATTAATACAAATTTGAACCGATAACACCAGGATTACGTGGTCTGGTTCATGCATCGAGTCAATTATTGAAAAGTGTTTACACCGTGTACGCGAGTAAATCGGGTGTTGGATCGAGTATAAAAAGGTTCTGGTTTCTGTGGTTTGGCATCATAACGATTCCTAACCTACAAAATACGAAGACAAGCGCCCTATGAAATCTTCCCTTCCACTAAACACAAAGCTAATAATCATGCAAACCACGAAGATCATCATTTTGCTCGGAGCAGTGGTAGCCACGGTACGTAACTAAGATACCCCAAACCAATATTTCCAAAAACTATTCGCCTTATTCCCATTTATATTACCTTTGCAGGCATTTGGCGCTCCTGAGCCCCCCCGCAACGCTGCAAAAGCATCCAACAACTCCACTTCGTCCGTTGAACCACCACCCAAATCGTCAGCAGGGGAAATTTTCTTGAGCATCAATAACGTCGAAAATAGTTACTGAGGAAGGCCGAGTGTACTATACAACCCCTTTTCGCCTCGATGTCACCGAATTTCGCATAAAAAATTGGAACCTTATATTTTGGTGAAAGGATCAATATAACGTAGCTATTATTAATTTATATGCAACCACACCCCCTTCAAAAATTGCGGAAGAAAATTGGGAAAAGTGAGAAAATAAATGTACAC